AGACTCCAAACTTGGCGGCGCCGCCCCGGCCAAGCGACGACAGCGGGCCTGCCCTGGTGTGCCCTACACTGCTAGGACCGAACAACGCGCCGGGCAGTCCACCAGAATTAGCTCATTTCTGACCGCGAAACGCTCTAGCCTTCCATCCCCTTAGTCCGGGCAGACTTAGCGGCGGCCAGGGAGGGCCCCGGCGCGGACCGCGGCGGGGGGCGGATACGCCACACAATGCGAAGCCCGGGCCCAGACCCAGGTCCAGCGGGCCGTCGCCTCTCTCTCTCGCACCCTTACGGATCGGCTGGCGGGGCTGGCCAGGGCCGCGCGCCGAGATATGCAGGCTCGCCGCAATCCCGGTGGCCTACACCGTGGGCCTGCCCGTGGCGGCAGCGGCCATCGTCCGAAGCCCCGACAACGGCGACGACGACGACCCCGGCAAGGACTACGACGACCACCGGCAGGAAAGAAGAGGACAACCCCGGCAGGGACGACGAACCACGACGATGACGACGTAGAACGACGACGGACAAAAGCAAGGGGCGGTGCGCCAGTCGGCACACACTGTCGGCACACTGTCGGCGCTGCCACTCGGCCGCACGCCAACAGGTGCAACATTTATGGCGGGGACACGGTGGCGCAGACAGCAGCACGGCCGGCACGGCCAGCGGCACGGCCAGCTCCGAGGAGAGCGGAGACAGTCCGGCCCAGGGGAGCGGCGCCCGCCTCGGCCCGCCTCCACCCCCCGCAGAAAGCACTAACACTCTGCAGCAGCCCCGCCCCGCCCCGGCCAGGGGGCGCACACACGCACACACACACGCACACACAGTGAGAATCAATGAATAAACCAGCCGGCCGACCCGGCCACCCCCATGACCATCATCATGTCCTTCAAGCGGAGCGCCCGCAGCGTCCAGGGCCGACGACAGTGCACTGGTAGGCCGCGCCTCCAATTGGAAGACACACGGCAGGCCACCTGTACCACTAGACAGAGACTGTTGCGAGAAATTTTCATTTCTTTTCTCTAGTGACTTTACCACGCGGAGAAGGAACTGGGGCCCGGAGATACCACCCCGCGGCCGAGGGGGCAGTCTCAATGCTCTAAACGCGAGCCTTATGGCCTTATGCTACGCGGCGCTATGCGGGGTCATTTCTTATTCCGCTGATGGAGTTTCCCAAGTGCAGCCGCCATCGCCGTAAACCTGCCAGCCCAACACACGCACGCACACACACACGCCAGCCATGCAGATCGGCCCGAACGGCGGAACCAGTGCCGCAGTCGAGTCGGCGGCGGGGGGGAGGAGGAGGAGCCGCGCGAATCCGGCGAAGCCAAAGCCAAGTGAAGCGTAGCGTAGCGCAGAGCAGGGCGCCGCGCCGCAGCGACCGACGGCCCGGACCGAATGGCCGAATGGCCAAATGGCCCCGATCCGATCCCATTCCCAAACGAGATAAATCGGCAGAGCGGGCCACGGGCAGCCACGGGCCACTCGGGCACTCGGGGCGAGAATAGGGGGTAGAACCGCCAGGCAGGCAGGCAGGCAGGCAGGCAGGCAGGCAGGCAGGAGGCCGCCGAGAGCACCTTGCACTCTTGCAACGGCAACAACAAAGGAGCACCTGAACAATAACTGCACGAAGTGGGCTGGAGTGGCGCTGGTGGTCCAAGTGGGGTTGCTTGCTTCGAGGCGCCGGGGGGCCTTGCCGGGGGCCTTGCCGGGGGCGGCCCAGAGGGAGGAGGACCTGGGTCTCTAGGAGGGGCCTGCCGGCCTGCCGTGCTGGGGACGGTGAGTGGCAGGCGGCGGGAGGCGGGGCGGAACGAGAAGGTGACAGGCCGATGCGCCATCACTTCGCATCACCGACTCCCAGAAGAAAGAGGCAGGGCGAGGCGACGATGTGGGCAGGTGCGGCCTTGCTCCTCGTCCCTTTGCTCCCCGCTCCGCCTGGCCGGCCGAAATAACGACCCCATCGTGACAAATTCGCAGCGATGTTCCCATTTCCCGCAGCGCGCGGAAGGCCGCGGAAGCGCCAAGCGCGATGATGACGGCACAGCCTCGCGACGCGGGCCTCGGAGCGGTCCGGGCCGAGGAGGCCGTTGGCCCCTCCGGGATTGAATCACGGCACGGCCGGGGAACGAACGGCACGGCCGAGGTCAGAAGGAAGACGAGGGCGCCGCCGCCCCCGCGCCGCCCCCGCGTCCCCCGAGGGGCCGAGGCACGCCCCCCGTCCGCAGGCCGCAGGCTGCTGCTTGGATCGCCCCAAGAAAAATGAGGCTCAGGCCCGGGGGAATAAGGAGCCACAAGGCGCGGCACAGTGCAGCAGCAGCGGGGCGCGGCGGGGCGCGGCGGGGCGGGGTTCCATTTTTCATATGAAAATGCCGCCGCCACTTGACCCCGCTATTCCGAGCCGTTCGCAGAAGCCCGGCCGGCCGGACGCCGGCAAAGGAAGGCGAGGCGAAGCGCGACTCATTCCTGCGGGGGGCGGTATGCAGGCAGCAACGCGGCAGCAGCCGGGCGCCGCGCGTCCTGCGACAAACAAGCGGCCTAAACTGACTGGTTGAGGCCGCTGATTGCTGAGTGCGCAGTGCATGTCCTTCTAGAGGACGTGCGTGGGCAGCACGGCGACGGCGGCAACGACAGGGACACGACAGGGACAGAGCGACGAAAGCACTGTTCAGAATCGGTCCGCTGCAGACACATCCACATCCGGTGTTCCCCCGCGGCGATATGTCGTCCTCCTTGTACTGGGGCGATGGGCGTTTCGGGAGCAGAGAGAGACAGAGAGCCATCGCTCATTTGCCTCGAGGAACCGAAAGGAACTGGAAACGCCCCCAGGAAGCGGGTCTGTCAATGCCGCGACACTGCCGCCGTTCCTCCCCCTGCAGACGCCCCCTTCCGAGAGTCGTCGTCGTCGCGCTGTCTCAGCCCCACTCATGGGCCGTCCCGCGTAGGTGCGAGAGGGACAGAGCGACGCACACGGTTTGCTGCTGGTGGAGCGCTGCGGTGCCCCCCGAGGGGCTCCACGGCCGGGCCGGCCGGGCCCCACCCATGGCGACGAATGCACTGCAGGGGCAGGGGGCGGGGGCACCGGGGGGCACGCCGCAATTAGCCACATCAAGCAGACCTGTTATTTAACGTGATTTAACTGATTCTTAAGTGCCGCGGCCGGGTCGGGTCTGTCGCGGCGCGGCGACCGCCGTTTGTCTTGGCAAGGCCTGCCCGCCGCGCCCCGCCCCGCCCCGCCCCGCCCCGGCCCGCCCCGCGCCGCCCCGCCCCGTGGCCTCCAGATACCACCGGCGAGGTGTGAACTCGCGCTAGCCGGCGTCTAAAGACCGCAGATAGAATTAATCAGCCCGCGAAGCTCAAAACGCGTCTAGAGTTTCTGGGCCTGACTTTTGTCCGTTCTTCTGCCTCATGGGGCGTCCCGCGGGGGTTCGAGAGACAGAGCGACGAGGCACTGTTCGGATTCAGGCAACAGGATGGGAACGGCACTAAACAACGGATAAATAACGCGCGGTTCACACAGTGCACACACACAAACGCGCCACCGCCGGGGGAAGTATATCAGTCAAGAAGACAACAAGCGAACCAAAAGTTAACGATGCGAGTCCCGGCCGTCCCGGCAGCAGGCGCTGCAGCGCGCTGAAGGGGGCCCTCCCCTCCCCTCCCCTCACACAGGCGAGCCCCACGGAAGGATCCCCTCAAGGTGCGAGGGCTAATCTCGCTTCCGGCCGCCCTGCGCCGCCCTGTGCCCTCGCGGTGCCGCGTCAGCCCTCCTGGAAAACTCGCTAAAACTTGCCGAAACTCCTAGCCGCAACGCCTGGATTCCAGCAAGACACAACGCAGCCTCTCCAACCACAGCCAGACTCCAGCCAGACTCCAGCCAGACTCCAGCCAGACTCCAGCCAGACTCCAGCCAGACTCCAGCCAGCGTGCGCGGCGTTCCAGCGGATGGACGGCTACGCCCCACCGGCCCTGACAGTGCCCTGGCCGACCGCAGCCGGTTTGGGGCGGGTAGAGGCCACAGGGCCTGAGGGGTGGGCACGCTGGCACACTGCACAAATAGCGGCCAAGTGATAAGGCACGGCACGGCGCGAAGCTGCCGCGGTACAGCAGCAGGCTCGTCTCGAAGAGGGCTTCGTCGCTCTGTCTCTCTCGCACCCTTACGGGACGACCCACGAGTGCGAGAGAGACAGAGAGAGCGACGAGAGCGCTGTTCGGAGTCAGCCTGCGGGGCAAGCCGGCCTCCAGAACAACAGGGGTGGAAAAATCTCTGCAGTGCACCTGTTCACGGCTAGGGCAAGCCAGGTTGCATGGACGCGGGTGCAGCGAGCAACCAAACTAACCATTCTGCAAAGCACAGCGCTCGCCCTGGCAAAGCGCCAGCGGTGACGGTGAGGGAGCCGGTTTGGACAAATTTGAAATTCGTAATGGAAGACGCATGGGGCTTGCGGTCAGTGATACAGTCAGGTCCTGCAGGACTCTCTGAGAGCATGGAGTGCGGGGGCAGAGGTGGGGGAGGGGAGGGGGAGGGAGGACGCTGGACGGCCACATAACCTCACTCTTCCCGACGCGACGGCAAAGAGATTTAATTTTCCCACATACTTCGGCGGGCAGGCCGGAAGGGAAAAGCTCAAATCGACGCTTGGAGCATGCCTCTCGAGGCCCGTGTCTTCAGGTTGACGGCAGTCATTCGAATAAGCCGAGCAAAAAGGGGAAAGGGTTCATCAACAAACCTGACGCTGCCCTTGTCTCGAGTCCCGTGGCTCTTCCTTAGACCACGGCATACGAATTCTGACAGAGATTTCTCCAGTAAAACTACTTTAAAATCGTCGGGATTCAACAGTTATCGCAATATTTCTGGGTTTGGACAGTAGTTTCATACATGAAAATGTCACAGGACCCGCAGTGTCCGACGGCACCGGGTGTTCCGGGTTTATCACGGAAATGCTCCTCGGAGGGCAAATTGTTCATACGGGGGTAAGGAGAAAATTATGTGAAAACGAATTGACTCACCCAAAATTCCAGGGCACCTTCAGAGACGGGTTGTATCCAAAGTATGTGAAGTCGTGTGCCCAAATCCTTTCAGTCTAAACGACACAATTTCATAACGTATCACTTGTTCACACACTGCGCTCCCTTTTTTTTCTGCTTTATTATAAAATAACTATCACTAATGAATCAAACACTGTAAAATTTCAATGCGACCAACAACCCCTCAGCAGCACTAGCAAGACGCGGACTTGTTAAATCTTCCAGGACACTTGAATCACTTGACGGGCACAAAGAGGGGATAGAGGGTACACACAAGTCGTAACTTCATTTTCTTCGTCTTCGTTGCATAAAACCTAGTATTCCAGTCGATGACCTGGTCTCTCTGTCTGTTCGGCCCTAGCGTGCACAGTGGGGTTCTGGCCAGGTTAAAAGTCCCATTCAAAGTTTTGTTGTGGCGAACGGGGCCGACAGAACTCGGTTCCCAAACGGAAAGGCAAGCGGAACGGACTCGCTGCAGTTCTGCGTTCTGCACGGCGGCAGGCAGGCAGGCTGACTGACTGCTCGTCTGTGGGGCGGCCGTGCCGTGGGGTGGGCGGGACAGACCGAGCTGGCCGCCACAAACAACAGCAACGCGGCGGCGGCAGGCAGCACGCGCAGGATCACACCAGAAACGAGACGGTGGCGCCATCTCTCGGCGGCGCTGCGTACTGCGGCGGCGCGGCGAGGACTCGGACCGCCAACGCCCTCCCTCGGCAGGAACAGGAACTGCAGTCCGAACGGCGCTGCCTTCAAACGCGCCCGGCAAACCGACCAGCAAGGCGCAGGCGCAGCATTCGCGTAAACATGCCTCCATCTCGGACAAGCTCGTAGACCGTTCTTTTAAATTTTTGCAACCGAACCGCCCCGCCACCATGGCCCTGCTGAGGAGAATGCAGCGGCTGTGGCGCCTGATGAGCCGCCGCAAGCCGGCCTCGTCGGGGGACGCCGAGGTGGCCATGAGGGCCAGCTTGATGCGCAACGTGCTCAGCCTCACCGACCTCACCCTGCTGGGCATCGGGGCCACGCTGGGCACCGGTACGGCCGCGGGCCGCTCCACAGAGGATTTGCCAGAAGACTGGCGCAGGCGGAGGAAGCTCTGGACGCGTTTTGAGCTCCAGAGTCGCTGAACAGGACTCGAACCGCACGTGTGACCCCCACCAATGGATTCCTCGTTCGGAGAGCAATCCATTGGTGGGGTCACACGTTCGGTTCGAGTCCCATTTAGCGAATCTGGAGCTCAAAACGGGCCTGATTGCGAGAGTCACTCTGTCGACTCGTTCGTCGACAGGGGTGTACATCCTGGCGGGCCAGACGGCGTACGAGGCGGCGGGGCCGGGCGTCGTGCTGTCCTTCCTCATCGCCGCCCTCGCCTCGCTGTTCGCCGGTAAACGCCACCCGAAATTGCAGTGAATGGGGAGGGTTGAGGGGAGGCGAGCCCGCGACTCAGAGGCTGTGTTCACCGCAGCGCTGTGCTACGCCGAGCTGGCGTCCGTGGCGCCCTCCGCCGGCACGGCCTACTCGTACAGCTACGTGGGCATCGGGGAGTTCCCCGCCTTCTTCGTGGGCTGGAACCTGCTGCTGGAGTACGCCATCGCGACGGCCAGCGTGTCCAGGGCCTTCTCCAACTACGTGGACGCCGTGGCGGGGAACGTCATCAAGAACTGGAGCATGCGCAGCGTGCCGCTCAAGGGCTCCTTCCTGGCCGAGTACCCGGGCTTCCTGGCGCTGGGGCTCATCACGCTGCTCGCCGGCAAGTAGGGCCTGCGCGTTGCACTGTGGGCCAGAAGACCGGCGGTGCAGGCGGTAAAAATCCCGGACGCGTTTGGAGCTCCAGAGTCGCTAAATGGGACTCGAACCGAACGTGTGACCCCACCAATGGATTGCTCTCCGAACCAGGAGTCCATTGGTGCGGTCACACGTTCGGTTTCGAGTACCGTTTAGCGACGTTGCAGCTAAAAACGCGTCTAGAGTTTTGGCCGCTTGCGTTGGTCTTCTGGCCCACTGTGCGTCGTCGTCGCCGTGAGCGACGCAATGATTGCCGTTTCCCTCCCGACGCCAGTGCTCCTGTCGGTGGGCGTCAAGGAGTCGTCCCTGTTCAACAACGTGTGCACCTTCTTCAACTTGGTGACCATCTCGATCACCGTGGTGGCGGGGGCGTGCTCGGGTGAGGCGTCGCGGCGTCGCGTGAGGTGGCCGTCGAGGCAAGGCCGGCAAGCTTAAAGTTCTCTCTCTTCCTCCGCGAAGCCGACCCGGCCAACTGGAGCATCTCGCCGGAGGCCATCCCGGCCGAGGCGGCCGACCACGCGGGCGCGGGCGGCTTCCTGCCGTTCGGCGTGTCGGGCGTGCTGGCCGGGGCCGCCAAGTGCTTCTTCGGCTACGTGGGCTTCGACACCATCACGGCCTGCGGCTTGGAGGCCAGGAACCCCCGGAGGAACATCCCGCTGTCCATCATGCTGACCCTGGCCGTCATCTTCTGCACGTACATGTCGGTGTCCATCGTGGCCACCATGATGCTGCCCTACTACGAGCAAGTGCGTGCCCCTCTCGAAGCGCGCCATGCTCTGCCGGCTGTGCCCCACGCCGCCCCCCGCGCCCCCCGCGCACCCCCATTCACCTCCCCCTGAAAGGTGTGCCTGGCAGGATGTCAACACGCCCTTCCCGTCGGCGTTTGAGAAGGTGGGCCTTCCCAGCATCAGTTGGATCGTCACCATCGGGGGCATGTTCGCCATGTGCACCAGGTGCGTTCCCGCCCTGCCCCGTCTCCTCGCGCACAGTGGGCCAGAGGCGGTCAAAATACCCAGACAGATTTTGGGCTCGAGCTCCAGAGTCACCAAATAGGACTCGAACCAATCGTGTGGCCTGCAATGAACTGCTCTCCGAATGGGGAATCCATTGGTGGGGTCACACGTTCGATTCGAGTCCCATTTAGCGACTCTGGAGCTAAAAGCGCGTTGCTCACGCCCAGCATGGTGGGCTCCATGTTCCCGCTGCCGCGCGTCATGCTGACCATGGCGGCCGACGGCATGCTGTTCCGGTCGCTGGGCAAAGTGAGCGCCACGACGGGCACCTCGCTGCGCTCCACGCTGCTGGCCTGGGCGCTGTCCGGCTCCATGGCCGTGCTCTTCAACCTGGAGCAGCTCATCGACATGATGTCCATCGGCACGCTCAACGCCTACATCGTGGTGGCCGTGTGCGTGGTGCAGCTCAGGCACGTGCCACCGCCCACTACAGCATGACGTTGGCGACGGTCTTCCCCGGCACTTGACTTGAATGGGCCGTGCCGCCGCCAGGTACCGCGCAGAGGAGCAGCCCGGGACGCCCCCCGAGGACGCCGACGGCCCGCCCCTGTCCGTCGGCCGCGTCCTCCAGGCCGCCTTCAACAACGGGGGAGCCCAGCAGCCGTCGAACCTGACGTCGTGGATCGTCACCGGGGCGCAGGTGCTTTTCTGTGAGTCTGCGCTGCAGTGGGTAACTTACCCTGCGCAGGCTCGACAAATTACTTTCTAATCGTTTGCCTCTTATTCTAGTGATGTTGAGTATACCAGCGTCGTATCTGCTGGCTAGAATGGATGAGATCTTGGAGAGTGAGGCCAAGATTGTGTGGGCCGGTGCCATCACCATCCTGCTCTTGCTGACCACCTTCAGCATCGCTGCCCAGCCAAGGGCACCCAAATCAATAGATGATCACTACACGTTCAGGGTAATCCAAATAATTTATGATTTTTGTAAAAAAATTCTAAAGCTCTGTTGGATGCCACAGAATGATATACTTAAAAATTTCCCGTGTTTTTGTTCCAGATACCTATGGTTCCATTTTTGCCATATTTTAGCATCCTCGCAAATATGAGTCTTATGATGATGATGAATGTTGGTACTTGGACTCGATTCAGTGCTTGGATGGTGATAGGTCTGTAGTGGTTTATGAGTGTTTGTAGCTGGCTTAAGCTCTTTGGCTATGCAATTTATTTTGGTATTTTTGCAGGTCTTGTCCTATATTTTTTATACGGCATCAAGCACAGTTCTCTAACAGAATCTCCAGAACCACTAAGTAAGCCAGTATCCCGACCAGATTTAACAACCCGTTTCGAAAATTCTACTGAAGGTCCTCTTAGAAACCAACAGAAGGCCTTCGACACTGAATTATAGCTAAGTAAGGGAAATGACACAATGAAGGAACAATCAGTGTTTTTGCAAAATTTTTATTTACAATCTGATTTGATTTACTTTTTTTCTTTTAGTTACAAAACCAAGTTGACTTATTGAAATGAAACAAATTAATACAAAAAGGGTCACCTCTGCACTCTGCAGCACTAATACTACAAATTATTAAATAAAAAAAGAGCACAAAAATAGCAGCTAAAAAAAAATACAAGCTCAACTGATTATTTAGCAGTTAATATCCAATTACCAAAAACATATAAAATAGGTAAAACTCTTGAGAATGTCTGAAGACCACAAGCGTAACTTACCTGCTCTACCCACAACAAAGACAAAACAAAAACAAATTCTGACTTCAAGTTTACATTGATCTACTATTACATCAAGCAAATATGTAACAGTTTCTCTCCTAATATTATTTCTATAAAATATCACAGATAACATAGAAGGGACTGTGCGCAAAGTGTCAGTCATTAGAAAGGCAGTGATGGGGGCAGTAATGGACATATTACATTAGTACTCAAATTAAAATGTCAATTATTAGACAGGATGACCTTCACACAGAAAAGGGAGGCAACAGGACCACATCCACATTATAACTATTTTGTTACGTCAGTCTGATTAACTTCATAGGGAGAAGACATTATGCTTCCAGTTTGAAACCTTAGAAAACACACTAGGGATGAGACCGCTGTAAGAAAAAGCACAAACTAAGGACCCAAGTAACAAATAACACAGTGTAGTGTACATTATAGCAAATCTACTTTGCCACACAGACCCAAGGAATGAAGATGAAAGACACTCCCTGTTTCTAGATTTTCCTTTTGTAGATTTGGGTGAAAAATCGAGATCATGGTCTGAATCACAGAAGCGAGAGCTTGTACTAAATGATCTTGGCGAAAATTGTGATCCAAAACTTGATGCAGGAGATCTGTTCCCGAATGGGGAAGCTTGGGGAGGCATCATAAACATAGGGCTGTTGCCATAGGGACTCATCATTGGATGATACATTCCATAAGGAGTATAAATAACTTGTGATACATGAGAGTTTGGAATTGGAGACGGTATAGAACCAAACTCTGGGTTGGGCGAGAGTGGATTTGGAGGAACACAAACAGCCAGGGTACTTTTCGGAGATGGTGGAGAACTCCAAGAAGACACTACAGGCTGGGTCGACTGGTAAGGCTGCGTAGGCTGGTAAGGCTGGAACGAGGAGGGTGGAGAGAAGCTTCTGACAGATGCTGCTGTTCGAGCAGTGGCTTGACTGTGGACAGAGCCACAAGGTGAGCCTGGCCGGCTCAAAGTCCGATTACTTGCTTCTGCTATTTCAGAAGCAGATGTCAAAGTCACATTGCTTCTAGCATCAGAGGGCACAACTGTGTTACTTCTTGTGTTGCGCCAAATGCCTGAACTGATTGATTCATTCATGATATTGCTAAGCCTTGAGGGACACAAAAGTGAACTTCTCTTTGGCTCCTTGCCATATGACTTCGTCCGGAACTCTGAGGGCGTTTTCAGGTTGTGGTTACTAGATAAGGACCCAATAGACAGACCCTCAATAAGGCTCTGAACATCATCTTGAGTCTTGGGCTTTTTGCCATTTACATAAAAAGAGCTGTTCAGAGATTCTGCAGCATCTAAAGTAATGGAATCAGGATTAGAAAATGCAGAATCTACAGATGCATCACTTCTAGCATCCTCTTGCGTTGCAGTGTTCTGGAACTCAGCAGGAGGGGGAATCAGTAAGCTGTCAGCCAAGGACAAGTTTGAAAGCGAGGAGTGAGAAGGTCTGGTTGGCAGAGTCAAATAGTTTGGGCCTTGTAAAACAGGCTCATTTTGATTGACATTCCTCAGAACATTTGGCTTGAATAATGATGATTGCGCATTACTCCTGATTTGGTCTTGACCAAACGAAGGTTGAGGATTTGTTGCAGGAACTTTTTGAAAAGATTCAGACTTGCTGCAACGAAAAACAGAAGGAAAGCGAAAATTAACAATTTGCTTAGAACTACAGTATACAGGAAGAGGAAGTCTACAAATAATTTCAGAAAATATAACATACCGTTTAATCTGCTTTGAGAAACTCAAAGTCCCTTTCTTAAAAGGGGATACGGGTTTGGACCTTTCCAGCAAGGGCAAGGAGAGAGTCAAAATCAATAAAGTAAATAATATCTGAAAAAGAGAAATATATGTGTTTTTAAAAGCAAATTACTTGAATTACTGATGAGATTTTATATGTGCAAAGAGAGCAGAAGCATACCTTCGCAACTTGACACAGTTCAGCATAATTGGTTCCAAAACTTGTCGATAAGAAAACCTCAATCCCAAACAAGGCCGCCCATGGTAAAGTAGCCAATCGGCGCCCTGACTGCCAGAATGCAACAATTTGGAGCGCCCAGCCCGAAAAACTCAGAGGGGCACTGTAAGGGCCAACAACTTCTAGATAATGCAGATCAACACTCTCGCCAATGAGTCTTGGAAGAATTTTAGTTGTCTTTGCGGAAGATCCTTCAGTCTTTGGACACATGGCTGGTGCGGCCAGAAGCTTGGCAAAGGGGGAGGCAGCACAGGTTGCACGGGATATAGAAATCCCCTTATTGTCAAAGAAATTTGATGCCGAAAACACAATGTGATCCGTTGTCATTGATGATAATGTGTGTAACAGCAGAATAAGAGCAATGCTGGTCGTCATCAATGTAGTAGTTTTGACTAGTATCCTGTTGAATGCAAGCTGAAAGAAGAAGAAAAAACATGAAATAAAATTGAATTTACTGATGAGCTGAGATTACGTCAAGAAGTACTGCTCTTACCTTTGAAGACGAATAAACACCGCTAATAGTTTTCTTTCCAGTAACTTGAAGATTCATGTCAAGAATGTGAGTCTTTTTGAGGGACAGTGTTTCATCCAGAACTGCTTCGCAAGGGGGACAAAGCCTATACGCTCTCTCCAAATGATAGCTGGAAAACACAAAATAATATGGCGATGATTGAACATGTAACGAACACTTTGCGCTTTTAAATCTTTATGTATAGTTACCTAAAATTATCAATTTCTTGGTCAAAGTTGTCAGGATTGATTGGCTGAAAAGATGCTAGCTGAGCAACTTTAAGTTCTTGATTCCGATTACAGTCTTGGCAAAAGCCGTTTTGGGGTGATTTGTTGTAGGGTTGAGGTTTAAAGCAGAATGACAGTCTTCCATTGAGAGATGAGTCGTATTGAGCTGGTATCTCACGATTGTAATCGCCATCCTGGAAAGAGGACCTTAGAGTTAAAGCACGAGAGGGATAAATCAGCCAAGACCGTTAAGAGGGTAAAACTCCATTCACTTACAGGTTTGAATCCATTGTACTGCTCACAATGCTTGCACATCCATCCATCGTGACACTTCCTTAGTATGGTATTGTTTAATCCACAAAACCAACAGTTAACTTTTATGTGAGTTCTGAAAACAAAAAAATTGATGAAATAGGAAAATAAGGAGAAAGCTTGCAACGGAACGGATAATGATTACACTGATGTTTACCTCTTCCAATATTTAAAGAAACCGTACAGAACCGGCAGAAGCGCGCCGAAAACCAAAAACCACTGTTGCATTTCACTTTCGAAAGATATTCTTCAACTTATTTTTCTAACAGCTTTTTCTCTCGGTCAGTAGACAGCAAAGTCAGTGACAGCGAGACTTTCAGTCGGTATTTCGCGAAAATCAGAGAGTTTTCACAGTAGCAGCAACCCCATGGTCGTGAAGCAAATGTGAGGTTATGCATGACCGAGGTAGGAACTATGAGAAACGTTGCAGTACGGAATATATAAATTTCTCATACTACTGGAAGTGGCGCGTTCGGACGCAAAGTACAAATTCGAATATCAAGCAGTAAACTTTTCACAATCCACCCGGCCAAAACGAAAGTAGGAAAACTTTTATTATGATTTGAACCTATGCCACGTCACTTTAGCAACGTGACTTTATTTTAAAATTATTAATTCATCATAACATACCAAGAAGGTAAATAAATTGAGCCAAAAATGGCCTTCTCTTGCGGAAGAAAACAGCAAAGACTTGAAAGGAACGAGCGATGGTGCCGAGACGACTCATCTTTTCTGCGTCTCTTCTAGAAAACTTCCCCGTGACTCTTGTTTTTTTCCGAGAGGAGTCAGTGGTGACTCCGTCGGACGTGACGTCGGCACTCTGACGCCACTGCCCACGTGACCGACACACTGGACACACGGTGTCAGGCGAAGGGCAAGGGCTTCTGCAGACTGATTCCGAGAAAGGTTTTCGTCGGTCTCGTTTCGGAGAGGCTCCATGCTCCATGCTCCTCGCGCCCGGGCCGATGGAAGAGGGAAGGACCGCTGAGTAGCGCGCGTCGCGGCAGTACCCCGCGCGGGGTGGCGGTGTGCACGGGGTATCTCCACGCTGACGTTCCCTCATCGCCCCTCTCGCCATGTACGCAACACGGCGCTACTGACTCCGCATCCCATTGTTCTTTTCTTCTACAGATTACGTGTCCACCGATTTTGTTTTGCGGAAAATCGGCTGTGTCTATTTGTGAGGCCCGCCATAAAACCATCGTTCAGAGCCTGGTGGTGGGAACGCGACTGTGACGACCAATAGACTTTGATAATGTCGCGTCTTCCTACGTCTGCAAAAATACACTACTGTAGATGTAATCGCCCTATGCGGGGAAGGGGGGAGGGGGCACCAGGGGAGGATGGTACCCTGATTGGTGATGTGCTTATCGGCGACCCGGCAAGTCTCGGTGCGCGGGCCTGGGGCCTCACGCCTCACGCCGCGGCACCGCCAGTCTCCGCAGTCCATCGCAGCCCCTCACACCGTTTTCTTCTCGCCTCCTCGCACGCCCCGCGCGTCCCTGCGACACCCGCTGAAAATGAAGATGCTGCTCTGAGTCGATCCGCGACCGCCCGCTGCCCTGACGACCGGGTCGCTGAAAATGCTGTGAGTACATGGAGGTGGGGGAGCGCGGGGGGAGCAAAGTGGGCCAGAAGACCGGCGCAGGTTAAATGAGCCTCGAACCGCCGGCAGCACACTGTACATCCTGCTGCGGCCATAAGTATACCGGGCAGCCCCTGCCTGCGGCCTGCGGGCACACGCCACCCGGGGGCCGGTTCGCTTCCCCGCCCCGGGGCGACAGGACAGGGCAGTCGAAAGTGCCGAAGTAGTGCGTCCTCCCCGTGGGCGGTGGAGGCGGCGGCGCTCCGCCAGGCCGGCTGAACGTCGCGAACAACGTCGCCCAGGGGCGTCGGGCCGTCGGCGAGGACCTGCGTTTGACGCGCGCGCCGAAGACACGGGTAGCAGCGGGGAAGACCATAACGCGAAGAGTTTGTGACGGGATGTGACGAGAGATGTGACGCCACTTTGTCTGACCCGGCCGGCCGGCCGGGGTCACGGTTCAGTGCGCTGGCTTCTTGTTATGAGATCTCCGGTCCCGCCAAACCACCACGCCGCCAGGCCGTCGGCCAGTCCGCCACGGCAGAGTCCGGGAAAAGGGGAAGGCGGGGAGGAGGGGGTATGTCATCATCGGTGCGTCACATCGGTCATCACACCCACACAGCCACACAAACGCAGGCACGCTCCCCCCTCACACTCACACAAACACTCTCTCACGCACACATACACGTGGGCACACAACGCGCGCATTATTTACAGGAAAATAGTATGATGCTGCTGCTGGCCGTCCCTGCGTGCACAAGCTTGGTAAGGGGGGGGGGGCTGTGACGTCAGGGTGTCAGGCGCCAGGGGCGGGAAGGCGTTGCGGGGGTTTGGCGTGCACCGCAGGTGTGCGAGAGAGAGAGAGAAGGCAGCCTCCATAAGTTGAGAATAGTTTGCACCAACAATCCCTTACTCTATTTCTCTCCCTCGAACCTGCCCTAGTGTGGGCAGGCCTTTGTTGACCACGCGGAGGAGGGCAGGGGCACACCGTCATGGACCACCCCGTGTCGAATGCACCCCTGACAGCCCCCCCCTCTCTCTCTCTCTCCGCCGCTCCTCCAATTTATGGGACTAATCGCTCCGTGAAGACAGAGATAGATAAGCCCATTAATAAACGAGGTCACTCTAAAAGTGCGCGGCCTCTTACAACAAGTGCGGCAAGTAGCACCACCACGCCGTCGTTGCCGCCTAACGGGCGGTTCGAATCGTTTGGCGGCGGCGTCAGGTGGAGCCACGGTGGAGCGACGACAACGGGGACGTCCCTTTGACCCCGCTGACCCTCCCCGGAGCCCTCCCCGGACCGACCCGGACCGTCCCGGGCCCTCACAGGGCGGTGAATGCCTTGTTTACACGATGCCTTGACGTAAAAGCCCAGCGCTCGCACAAACACAGGGAATCACACCGATAGGTGTGAAATACGCATACACACACACACACTGACGCGTACACACGTATGTGGTCCAAGAACCCCGCTCGATCCCACAGACAGACAGGCGGGCATGTCTCGGGCCCGAAATGGCAAACGATCAGTCATGGTCCAGCCCGTAATGGCAATGGTAATTGAGGGTAGGCCGCCAAGGTGCGCCTCTGCTCGGCGGGACTGCCTATGCTGCCTCCGCAGGGGCCATGGCGCCGTGAGGGAAGGCAGCGGCGGCGCACCCCTGCTCGCCGGGCAGGCCTGCGGGCAGGCGTTCGGTAGAGGCCGCGGCGCCGCCGGGCCGGCCCTCGACGTGGCCTTGGCAGTGACCCAGAAACGATGCGTCAAGTAGTTTTTAATCTTTTGGCGGCAAATGGCAACATCATGCGGTCGTCGATGGCATAAGAGTCGAATAGTGGAAATAACATCAAAAGCGTTTTCTCCAGCGAGACAGCCGACAACAAGGTGTAAAAATTCCTGCCCCAAAAATTTTTGATTTAAAAATATGGTTAATTTCTTGTTTGTTTGCAGGTGGGGTCCTCCAACATAACGAATCCGATTCTCCGACTATGGCTCTGGACTTCTTCGCTGGTTGCGTAGGAGGTGAGTTTTGGCGGGAACCTGTAGCCAAGCCCTGCAGCCAGCCCTGCAGCCAGCCGCGCAGAGGGCACATCTGTCCCCCCGGCGTAATGCAAAGACAATCGGTGGCGGTATCAGCATTGCACACCTCAGGTTAAAGTTTATCAAGCCGCGAAATGTGTCACGTTCATCGTCAGGCCGTGAGCGCGTGGCTCTCGGTGTGACGACGAGGGCTTCGTTGGTGGCAGCTGGAGCGCGCCGAGGACGGCGACGAGGCCTTGTTGGTGGCGGCTGGAGCGCGCAGAGGACGGCGTCGACGAGGGCCTCGTTGGTGGCAGCTGGAGTGCGCCGAGGACGGCGACGACGAGGGCCTCGTTGGTGGCGGCTGGAGCGCGCCGAGGACGGCGACGGCGGCGACGGCGACCACGAGACTGGATCGGAGTCGTCGCACGATCCATTGTCCGGCATTATCGCGGAAGGCCGCCCCGGATGCCGCAGATAACGGCGTCTGTTTTTGTTTTCAAATTGCAATGCAATGCATTGAGAATGTGGCAATTTTGAAAAGATAGACAGGCTGCTGCTTCTGCTTTGCTGCTTCCCCAACAGCAGTTTTTATCGGTGAAAAAAAAATTGATACGGAAACCGGTTGGCGGGGGGTACCCTCTGCTCTGGCGACACTGATTACTGTCCGTTCAAAATAGATAGTGACTCCCCGTTTTCTCTGTGTTGTGCAGGGTGTGCGGGGGTGTTGGTGGGTCATCCTTTCGATACCGTCAAGGTAACTTTTTAATCATTTTTTAAACTATTTTACCTTCCTAGAAAAGTCGTTTTTATCTGAAATTTTAACTCTGTGTGTCCTGTCCTAGGTTCGATTGCAAACACAAGACCCCGTCCGGCCGCGCTATGCCGGCACCCTGCATTGCCTCAGAACCATGGTCAAGGAAGAGTCGGTACGTTTACTCTAGCCACAAACATTTTTTTAAAATCTCGAATCAAAGCAAATGACCCCTTTCAAGTTTAAAAATTCCCTCAGCGCCTGTAAGTTGACTGGCAAACGGGTGGGCGCGGGAAATGGGATCTCCGTTTGCGCGGGGAATAATTTTAATTATACAACAGTGGCGGAGCAGGAATCCTGGCGAGGTATGCGTTGCGAGCAGCGCGAAGGGAAGGGCGGTTTACCGGCAACTATGCTTTGCCCGCCTGCTTCTGGCAAAGCGGGGGGGGGGGGGGGGGGGGGGCGTTCGGGACACGTCTTCTAGCCGCCCACGCTTTCTATCGAACCACGGCCAAGTTTTCCCACTGCACAGCCTGCCCACCACACTCTAAATGTCTGTGAGAATCTTCTCTGTAAGACTTTTGGAGTGCAGACAACAGGTACAGCAGGCAGCCCCTCGAAACCAGACGCGGACGGGCGGGCTGTTCCGTCCCGTTGACATTGACATTGCCCACCGGGCCGTGTCCGATCCGAATCTGAATGAGAATGCGGCCCTGAATGTGAATGTGCTTCGCTTGGCTTGCAGGTGCGGGGGCTGTACAAGGGCGTCACGTCCCCGCTGGCGGGGGTGTCGCTGGTGAACGCGCTCGTGTTCGGCGTGTACGGCAACGCGCAGCGCCACCTGGAGGCCGCGGCGGGCGGCCCCTCCCTCACCGCCCACGCGCTGGCCGGCGGCGCCGCGGGCGCCGTGCAGAGCGTGGCGTGCTCGCCCGTGGAGCTGGCCAAGACCCGCCTGCAGCTGCAGGGGGGCGGCAACGGGCTGCCGGGGGGCGGCCAGTACACCGGGCCCGTCGACTGCCTGCAGCAGGTGAGGAACCTGCCCGCAATGTTCGCCCCGTCTCTCTCGCACCCCTACGGCACACGCCATGAGTGCGGGAGAGACAGAGCTAGGAGCGGCAGAATCACTCGGTGCACACGCGGCGAAAACGGTTCCTGGTCCTCCCACGAACTCACTGGAAACTGCCTATGTTTTTACTGCAGGCTACCTGGGAGAACCAGGAAACATTTTCGCCCTGCAGTGCACCCTACACACTCAATTCCAACAAATCTTTTCTGATTTTCACTTGAAAGTTGCAAAGGAGAACCCTCACAATACTGTGGAGTAGAATAAATACAAAGAAAACAAAAGAGGATGGATGAGGTGCAGACGCTGCGTATCGGACGCCGCCAGAAAGCATTGCTACTTAAATTGAAACAGTGCTGATAAGGCGTGCGTCCAAGACGCGTAATTCGCTCTGTTAAATGAACCCTCATTTTCAGCAGACTGATTCCGAGAGTCGCTTTCGTCTCTCTCCCCCTCATGGGGCGTTCCCTACGGATGCGAGAGAGGCAGAGCGACGAAAACGACTCTCGGAATCAGTCAGCGGATGGAGAGGGAGAGAGGAGTATATCAGACGAGGCGTGGCCTCGGGAGGGTCGTGAACCAGTAGACTGATTCCGAGTGGGAGGTCTCTCTCTCCGCACTCACGGGGCGTCCCGGAAGGGTGCGAGAGAGACAGGCGGACGAAAGCACCGTTCGGAACCAGTGTGCCGGCACGAGCTGGCCGCGTGGCGCCGCGTGTCCGACTCGCTCGCCGACATGACGAACATGACGCAGTGGTGGGCGTGGGGGACACCGCGCCGCACCGCGCGCCTCTCCGCGGACCGCAGCGCGTGCACCCCAAATTTGCATCCCATTTGCGTCGTTTTCTCCGAAGTCAGTGAAAGCTGGACGAGTTTCGAGAGATGGTGACACTGTTCCTCCCCCCTCGAACGTCAGGATGGCGCGGCTATCACACGCCCGTTGCGCAACCGGCGTGCTTTTGACCGGCCTACTCTGCCACAAATCTTCGTTTCTCGAGGAGTTTCGCCTTTTGCCTTTTTCGCGTTGGCGCATCCACACTAATGACGGCCGCACCACCACACTGATAACAATTTTTTTTTCTTGGTGGCGTAGGGATATTTTGTCGTCTTTTATTTTTTTCTCGCCCCGTTTTGGACGTTTGAACTATCAGATATTGTCTCCGCCGTCATCTCGAACGAATTGAGATGGCAGTCGGAGTGCGCGTGCTTTGCCAAAACATTCGAGGCGCCGGGGCCGAGGTCCACAAATTCGTGGTCACGGGCAAGACTGCGTCGACTGCCTGTGTTCGATGCGATGAACGTCCCTGCGGCCCCTTGCGACAAGCGTGCCGCCAGCAGACTCATTCCGAGAGTCGTCGCTCTGTCTCTCATGGGGCGTCCCGTAAAGGTGCGAGAGAGACGGAGCGACGACCGGCGAAGCCATGCCCGTGACGTCATCGCCGTGCTTTGCAGGTGTGGCGGTCGGAGGGCGTCCGCGGCGTGTTCCGCGGCTTCTGGCCGACGCTGGCGCGCGAGGTGCCGGCCTTCTCCGTGTACTTCGCGTCCTACGAGTGGATGACCCGCGGCGACGTGCAGGTGCCCACCTGGCGGCTGCTGCTGGCCGGCGGCATGGCGGGCACCATCTCGTGGGTCATCACCTACCCCGTGGACGTGGTCAAGAGCCGCGTCCAGGCCGACGGTGCCAACGGCAGCCCGCGGTACCAGGGCGCCCTCCACTGCCTCCGCGTCAGCCTGTCCGCCGAGGGGCCCGCCTTCCTGTTCCGCGGCCTCAGCTCCACCATCCTCAGGGCCTTCCCCACCAACGCGGCCACCTTCGCCGCCGTGGCCTGGACCATGCGCCTGCTGCAGGACGAGCAGCTGCACGACGCCGTGCAGGACATGCAGCACGCCGTGGAGGCCGTGAGGGCGCCCGTCGTGCCCGCCGTCAACAACGTGTACACCGAGCAGCAGTCCCTCCTGGAGTGCGTCGCGCTGCGCTGCCAGATGGCTTGCGAGTGCTGACGCCGCTGACGCCGCTGACGCGCAGGGCTCTGGGCGACGGCGTCCTGGAGACGATGCCGTGGTCCGTCTGGTCCGTGTGGTCAGGCACCAGAGCGAGGCGCGCCACCATCGCCGGCTCGCGTGGCTGTCGACTGGCTGCAGATGGGGCCCGGCCGGGTGGCGTGGGTTCGAATCCCACCGGATGCCAAGTCATCTGATGCTCTCTTGCCACCCGCGCTGGTGGGCCGGAAGACAGGTGCAGGCGGCCAAAATCCGACACGCCACGCAGTCGAATTTTTGATCCGAATTTCGAGCTTTCGAGCAGTGTTTCGTGTTTCTTCTCTCTCTGTTCGATGCAGTGGCCGCGCTGCTTTCTGGTACCTGATTCACACGTTCCGCTCGACGGCTTTTCAGAAAATTTGGGTAAATAATAAATTTAGAAAATGTTGTGAGAATTCAGCTCGAACTGTCGCGCTCCGCCTGTTTCTCATTGTAAATATTTTAGTCCAATGATTTAATTAAGCTTAAGAGGCGGGTGTTTTTTAACTTACAAAATAACGTACTGACAGACTGACACTCGGGGACGTTCAGTGCTCGCTCTAGATTCTAGTTGGTTTTAAATTATTTTTCATGACTAGCAAGTATTTCTATCTCCACCGGGCATAGTCCACGCACGCCATCGGCATGCAAACAAACAAAAAAATAAAGGTTGATAACGCCCACAACTTTTTCGTGGTTGCTTTTCTTACTCTGTCTGCCAGCGCGAAAATTTCGCAGCGCAGCTTCCTTGAACACGGTTCAACTTGAACACGGAGAAGAGGATGTTGTTTCACCGTCTCGCGGCATTTCCTTGTTGACTTAAACCCCCCCCCTCCCCCTCCTCCCCCTCGCGGACGTCGGCGGCCCGTCGTCGCGCAGCCCCCGGCGTCGCGCGTCTCGGGGAGCGTCTCCGGACCGGACAAAAAAGACGGAAAACCTGAGACACGCGGGGAGAGAGAGAGAGAGGGACAGACAGACGCACGAAGGGGCGGTCGAGGCGCTCTGAAATAAATGACCCAGATCCTGTCATCAAGACGGGGCCGCCATTTGCATAAATTGCGCGACGTCTTTGACGGAGTGGTCAGGGCGAAAAGGCCAGCCCGGCCGGCCGGGTCGGCGAGGTGCCGCGAGGTGCCCGGGGCTGGGGACGCCGGGGATGGTCCATTTGCATAGATTGTCGACGGCCACCTCACCGGCTCGACGACGTCACCGCGCCGCCGCGTCGCACGCCCACCTTGCCGTCGGCCAGCACGCCGTTCCGAGCGGCAATAACCGTGGCATACTGATTCTAACGTGGTGCGAGTCCGAAAGGCTGGTCCCGAAGAGTCGTCGCACAGTGGGCCAGAAGGCCGGTGGAGGAGGTCAAAATCCCGGACGGGCTTTTGCGCTCCAGAGTCGCTAAATGGGACTCGAACCGAACGTGTGACCCCACCAATGGATTCCTTTCCGAACGAGCAATCCATTGATGGGGTCACACGTTCAGTTCAAGTCCTATTTAGCGACTCTGGAGCTCAAAACGCGTCCGGGAATTTGACCGCCTCTACCGGCCTTCTGGCCCACTGTGGGGCATCGTGCTGGTCACGTGCGTGCAGGCGGGCGGGGAACCCTCGGGGAGCCCCCGGTGGCCGACGCGGATCCCGCCGGCCGTTGGCATTCCTGTCGTGCCGTGCGCCGCGCGCCGTGCGTGGGGCGGAGCGGCGCTGCGACACGCCGCGGGGCGCGCGGGGGGCGCGGGGGCGCCGCACGCCACGGGGCGCAGCGCCGTCCCTCCGAGACCGCGCCACCACGCCCCCGCCAGGGCCAGGGGCGTGAGGGCCGCGGGGCGGGCAGCGCGCGGGGACACTGCGGGGACTGCATCTGCCTTGCCGCCCACGCGGCCCGCCGCAACACTGCTCTCGAACCATCCTCATCGGTTATTCACTTTCTATGGCATTCAATTGTGTCCTGGCCAATATGGGCCATCGGTAGTAGTCTTGGTGCTCGAAATATTCGAAGACGTTCGTATCCTGAGTGCACACAAAATTCTGTGAGTGGTTACCCCTCGACCGGCCGTTCTGCGCCACGCAGCCGCGCGGCCAGGCTGGCCACCATTGTTCCGCCAAGCGCCATAGAAACCCTTCGCACTGTGCTCGGCAAGTGTGTACGATGGCGCGCCGCCGCTGACGGTGCCAACCTTGAAAAAAATAACCCCCGAAAAAACGAATAAAAATAGTAAACTCGGCAACCTAAATGCGATCCAGGGCGCCATGGCTCCTCACGGCAGCTGACCCTCCGTCCGGATCGCACCAAAAAGTTTGACGAGTGCGCCCTGCCCGCGCCGGCTCGCGCGGCTCGCGCTCCGCGGAGGTGGGCTGGCGGCGGGGCGCGCGGCGGTGGACGGCGAGGGTAGCGGCAGCGGCCCCCGCGCCCGCCTCGGACATGGACCCCGGCGGCCAGCCCGGCGGCCCCGGCCATGGTAAGCGGAATGAAAGCCAGCCCCGCGAACGTCGCTCTAAACAGCCCATTCGGCCTAACCTAACCTTGCGTTTGCTCTGCCTCCACTCACGGGGTTGACGGCGGGGTTGGGGCCGCTTGGACCTCTGGGCGCGACCCCGGGGGCCGGCGGCTTGGCCCTGCCGGCCTTCCCAGGCATGGGCAGCGAGTGCTCGGGCGGCGCGGGCGTCGGGGACGGCCGCCGCCAGCTCACCAAGAACGGGCGCTCGATGAGCACGCAGGCCATGCAGTCCCTGTACGAGCTGCGGCAGAACAACCAGTTGTGCGACGCGGTGCTCAGGCTGGAGGACGGTGGCGTGTTCCCCGTGCACCGCGCCATCCTGTCGGCCTGCTCGCCGTACTTCAGGTACAGGCTGGCCGTCGGCTGGCCGGCCCCGGCGCGGGCGTCGCAGCACCGGCACCGCCGTCAACGCCCTCCTCCCTGTGAAGGGCCCTGTTCACCACGACGCTGCACCCGAATGAGAAAACGGACATCCTGCTGCTCGGCATCACCAGCGACATCATGAACCTCGTGCTGGAGTACGCGTACCTGCGCTCGCTCGACATCACCAAGACCAACGTGTGCCAGGTAGAGTCTCGCGGTGGCGCCGGCGTCGGCCTTCCCCTGGACTCATCCGGCCTGACGGACTTGACGGGCAGCTGCTGGTGGCGGCCGACTTCCTGTGCGTGCTGGGGGTGCGCGACATGTGCTGCGGCTTCCTCAACACCAACATGGCGCCCGACAACTGCATCGGCATCCTGCACTTCGCCAGGTAGCTCTGGAACTCAAAACGCGTCTAGAGTTTTGGCCGCCGGCGCCGGTCTTCTGGCCCACTGTGCAGCGACGCGCTCTAACCCCCGCCTGGCGCGCCTGATCCGCAGGGACCACTTCTGCACCGCGCTGCAGGCCTCGGCGCACCAGTTCATGATGAGGCACTTCGTGCAGGTGGCGCAGGAGAGCGAGGAGCTGCTGCACCTGGAACTCGAGGCAACGCCGCAATTCCGCCGCATTCGTCGCTCTGTCTCTCGCGCCTATACGGGACGCCCCACGAGAGCAAGAGAGACAGAGCGACTCTCGGAATCAGCCTGCACAGTCGTGTCTTGATGTGGACCCGCTTGCGAAGGGAAATGAGATGGACTTCGGGTTGACAGGAGCTGGCGCGCATGCTGGCCGCGGACGAACTCAACGTCAAGTCGGAGGAGGCGGTGTGGGAGTGCGCGCTGCGGTGGGTGAACCACGACCCGGACGCCCGCAAGCACCACATCGTCACCCTCATGAAGAGCATCCGCCTGGGCCTGCTCGACACGCAGTTCTTCCTCGAGAACGTACGTCACGTCGTCTGGAGCTCAAAACGCGTCTGGAGTTTTGGCCGCCTGCGCCGGTCTTCTGGCCCACTGTGCGCCGCAGGCTGCAACTGCAACTGACGAGTGTGTGCTTGCCCTGGCGCTCCGGCAGGTGAAGGACCATCCGTACGTGACGGGCAACGAGGCGTGTCGGCCCGTCATCATCGAGACCCTCAAGTTCCTCTACGACTTGGAGATGATCACGCAGAAGGACGGCGAGATCCCCACCCCGGAGATCGCCCGGCCGAGGTGCGCGCCAGCGCGCCGCCGCAAAGTCCTCGACGCGTTTCGATTTTCGGCCAGAATGGTACACCTTGGTCTCGGGCCGCAGGGTGCCGCACGAGATCCTGTTCGCGATCGGCGGCTGGACGGACGGCAGCCCCACCAACTTCATCGAGACGTACGACACGCGCGCCGACCGCTGGGTCAAGGTGGACGACGTGGACCCGGCGGGGGCGCGCGCCTACCACGGCACGGCGGTCGTGGACTTCAACATCTACGTCATCGGCGGCTTCGACGGCATGGACTACTTCAACTCGTGCCGCTGCTTCAACGCCGTCAACAAGACGTGGCGGGAGGTGGGCCGTCCGCCGGGAAGTCCCAGTGAGGTTGACAGTGTGAGCGTTCGCTGACGTCGTGCCCGGGGACGGTCAAGGTGGCGCCGATGAACGTGCGGCGCTGCTACGTGTCGGTGGCCGTGCTGCGCGGCCTGGTGTACGCCATGGGCGGCTACGACGGCCACCACCGGCAGAACACGGCGGAGCGCTACGACCACCGCACCAACCAGTGGTCCCTCATCGCCCCCATGATGATGCAGCGCTCCGACGCCAGCGCCACCACGCTCAACGGCAAGTACTTGGCCGGGTCGAATCCCACTGTGGATTTGTCAGAAGACTGGTGCGGTCGGCCAGAACTCTTGACGCGTTTTGTGCTCCAGAGTCGCTAAACAGGACTCTCTCCCAGATCGCATCTACATCACCGGCGGCTTCAACGGGACGGAGTGCATGAACTCGGTGGAGATGTACGACCTGGACACCAACCAGTGGTCGCTCATCACCCCGATGCGCTCGCGCCGCTCCGGCGTGTCCTGCATCACGTACCACGGCTGCCTCTACGTCGTAGGTGAGCCGGGTGCACCCCGCGCGGCCAGGCCGGGCCAGGCCGGGCCCGCGTTAGCGCCTGTGAAGTCCGGGGTAGGCAGCCCGGCGCGCGGGCGAGCGGCCGCATTGCCTAGGCCGGCAGGTTCTCGCGCCCCAAGAGATCGCCGTTTCATAGCTCTGTCCTTGTCGCTCCTTACGGACTGCCAGTGAGTGCGAGTGAGACAGGCAATGTGGACGAACCCCCCCGTTGCAGGCGGCTTCAACGGCATCTCCAGGATGGGGAGCTGCGAGAAGTACAACCCGGCCACCAGCACCTGGACGCCCATCCCGGACATGTACAACCCGCGCTCCAACTTCGCCATCGAGGTCATCGACGACATGATCTTCGCCATCGGCGGCTTCAACGGCGCCACCACCATCTACCACGTGGAGTGCTACGACGGCCGCAGCAACGAGTGGTCGGCGACTCGAGCCTCCCCGGCCTGGGCGCTCTGTCGACGCACAGTGGGCCAGAAGACCTGTGGAGGCGGCCGAAACTCTGGACGCGTTTTGAGCTCCAGAGTCGCTAAATAGGGCTCGAACCGAACGTGTGACCCCACCATTGGATTCCTCGTTCGGAGAGCTATCCATTGGTGGGGTCACACGTTGGCTTCGAGTCCCATTCAGCGACTCTGGAGCTCAAAACGCGTCTGGGATTTTGGGCGACCCCACCGGCCCTCTGGCCCACTGCGGGGCGGCGGCCAAGACAGTGCCGTGGCTGTTGCAGGTACGAGGCCACGGACATGAACATCTACCGGTCCGCGGTCTCGGCCTGCGTCATCATGGGGCTGCCCAACGTGCTGGACTACATCCACAAGCACCGCGAGCGGCTCATGGAGGAGAAGCGCCAGAAGCTGCTCGCGCTGGAGACGCAGCGCCAGATCGACACCAACAACAACAACATCCTGATGCCGAACGTCATCAGGAACCCCGTGGCGAACCCCGTGAACGACAACAACAACAACCTCGATGCGGCCAACAACAACGACGAGGAACGCAACCAATAAAGCCCTTGCGAGGGCGGCATCTCGTCGGCGCAACCCAGCCTCGCAATTCGGAGCCCTTTGTTTCGCCTCCCCGCCGGACGGACAGGGTTTGCTTTGGCGGCGTGGCCGAAAGGGTACACCGCCAGACTCGTAATTAACAGGATCCTGGTTCGAATGCCAGCAATTTTTTTTTGTATATTAGCATTTCCTGCTGTGCAGCCCGGCGGTTCAGAATCCTCAGCAACCCCCAGTTTGTTTTAAACCTGATTTTTAACCGGCCTGAGTGATTCGACCAAACTTCCGCCTTTTGCGTATAATGTCTCGGCTGCGCCCCCGGCCACGGCCCCGTGCCATCGGCCCGCCCGCGCCTGCGCGCTGGCCGCGCTGGGGGTGGGGGTGGGGGCGGGGAAAGGGGTGGGGCGGTGGGGGCGTGCAGGTTGCCCCGTGCAGGACCGCCGCCAGCACTCCCAGAACCGGCCCGACGCGCTCCGAGCAACAAGTCCCACCCCCGCGCGTCGTCTGCTGCGAGGGGAAGGCCGTGCCGTGCCGTGCCGAACCGCGCCACGCCGTGCCGGACCGCGCCGCGTGAGGGACACCCTGATCGCCATGATGCGCCACGAACGGTGAGTTGCAGAGTCGCGGTGTGCGGCTGCCACACTGGAGAAAGGGCAAACCCGTGACGTGAACCAGGTGACCGGGCTGGCACTCCAAAAAGCGCACTAAAGTTAAATAGCCTATTAGGTGGAAACACATAAATGAGCTGATTCGATGCATGGATGTGGTCTAGATGAATGAGACGAAGCCGGTGACACCTGAAAAAGAGCAGGCCACAGTGGGTCAGAAGGTTCTGGACGTGTTTCGAGCTCCAGAGTCGCTAAATGGGACCCGAACCGAACGTGTGACCCCACCAATGGATAGCCCTCCGAACGAGGAACCCATCGGTGGAGTCTTACTTTCGTTTCGAGCCCTGGTTAGCGACTCTAGAGCTCAAAACGCCCTGGAGCTCCGTACTGCAGCAGGGGCGGCGGGGCGCGGGGCGGCGACTCGCTGCCGTTTTGCCCGTGTTTGATTTACGACTGTGGCGCCGCACCCGGGGCCACCAGTGTGTGAGAGAGAGTCCGCGTGTGTGTGTGTGAGAGAGAGAGAGAGGGGGGAGCGAGGCTGAGGGAGAGAGAAGGGATGAAGGTAATCCTGTGGCCGCGCGCTGCCTCACCCCCGCTAAGCCTTTGGCATTTGCAACGATAGTTTCCGTTACACCGATCCGCGCGTTGTGACCTCACATACACACGCGACGCCCTCCCCCCCTAGGGCCTGGAGGTGCAGGCCCGGAAGCGCCTCCTGCCGGGCCGGATGGTCGGACACCTGATGGCGTGTAATCCGGCACTGATAGGATGGGCCTTGTTAATAAGGCACGTGCGAAGAATCCCTCCCCGAAAGGTTGTGTGTGGGCGGCGGCGGGCCGTAGGACGAAACAAGAACGAAACAAGAAACCTCAAAGCAAACGCACCAAAATTTTAAAAAAAATCTCATTCAACGAACGTTAATGAAAGCAGATGATCCGTCGCGTTTCACAACTGCTGTGATAGCCGAGAGGTTAGAGACGTGGGATCGAGTTACCGCAGGCGGGCGTTCGAATACCAGCGTCACACACGTTTTTTCGACTAACTATCCTAAGGGTGGTGGTTCGAGGCCATCCGAGCGGAGCCGTGTGCAACAGACCCACATGCCGGAGGTTCGACTCCTAACAAATATTTCCATTTAATTTTACTGCCTCACCCAGTGCGGTTGAAACCCGTGAACGTGAGCCCACTCCGTGCATGGGACGTGGTGGTCCAGGGAGTAGAGGCGTCGGTTCCCAATTCTAGGGTCGGCGGTTCGACTCCCCCAACTTCTTGCGAAATTTTGACCGGGTCGGTCGAGTCCTGTTGCGTCAAGAACCCACCTCACGCCGGTCCCCTCATCATGGGCCGTGGTGGCCGAGAGCGTAAAGTCGTGTGATCCCGGTGGCGGGGTCCGGGGATCGAATCTCATCATTTCGTTACATTTTTCGACTGCCTTCCTCCCACTGCAACTCAAACCCGTCGTCCAACACGCTGCCAGACGTACAAGCGTGATAGCGTAGTGGTCAGAGTCACATTCACCTGGCCACTCCGCTGTGGGTGTCTAAAAAGCAATCCGCTTCGGCGGGTTGGCCTCGGCACTGGAGCGATGGCGTATTTGATCCATCAATCCAGACCACCCGGTGTGTGGTTGCGGGTGGTGCCTCCTTGACTTGTCGGGGAGGCGATGATAAGTCCTTTGAAGCTGGCCTAAAACGCTGTATGTTCGGTACGGGAGCGCCGGACAGTGGGGGTACCATGGGGTACACAACCAACCCTACGAAAACAAGAAGCTCCCACCAAACCTCTTCTCTGTCTGAGTCTCTCTCTGTCTCTCTGTCGTCTCACTCTACGTCCCGCCCCTCAAAGAGCTTCGTACTGGGTGCTCCCACCCAGCTGCCTGAGCTTTGGGGTCCTACTGGGTCCCCCGGCGAACGCTTAGAGTCGCTGACGGGATTAACCCCAGGTACCTGATAGCACCGGTTCCCATCCCGAACACCGAAGTAAAGCAGGAGGCCTCCCCATTAAGACTGGGGAGGGGGTGTAGAGTTCAAATTTTTTTCTTTTCCCTTTCAAATTTCTCAGTCAATACTCGTTCGGTTTCCTTATACGGGGTAGTATGCGGGCTCATTCCAAAGATAGTAATTAAAATTGTGTATGAAACAAAATATATAGACCCGAGCGAGGTGGCCGGCGGGACCGCGGATCCAGGAGCAAGGCGACTAGGCTGCCCGCGGGCAGTGCGGGGGTGGCTGCCCGGGGGCGGGGGAGGGGGAGGGGGGCTGCTTTATAGCTCGTTCTAAGCCCACGCGGCGGGCCGCGGGTGTCCATGTCCTCCAATGTCCACCACCGCTTGCTTTATGACGTGGACTCAGATCAGGGACAATAATCTGACCGCCCGCAGGAATAACAGTTTGCTTTCGTCGCTCTGTCTCTCTCGCGCTCTCGCGGCGCCGTGCGGGTGCGAGAGAGACGGCGAGCTGCAGCGCTGCAGTGGTGTGGCCCGGTGTAACACCCGCCCCTCGGCGTCGCTCTGCGTTCGGATCGACCCCGCCGACCTCGGCCACTTAACCCAATCTGTGGGTCGGAATGCTTTGCGGATGGCGAGCACGGCGAGCACGGCCAGCGCCACTCGTGCGCCGGGAGGAACCGGCGAAGCACCGCCCCGTCGTCGCTCCGTCTCTCTCGCACCCACGGCGCGTGCCGCAGTGCCGCAGGGGTGCGAGAGAGACGGAGCGACTCGGCCAGGCATCCGCCCGAGAGGCCCGAGAGGCCCCAGAGGGCTGTGAGGGGCGGGCGCGGCCCTTTGCCTCGGCGCCTCGGCCCTTTGCTTTGCGTGGGCGAGGAATGCCGCCGCGCCGCCGCCGCCTTCGCCAGCGCACCCCGTCGGCCACCGTCGGCCCGTTGTGGCCCCGCGACGCCAACGGCCGAAAAACGGGGCGGCCAACGTGAGCAGTGCCGGCCTGTGGCGGCCGCGGTCTCGGGGTCAGCGGGTGCGGGGCCAAAGGCGGCCAAAGGTCCAGGGCGGGGCGGGGCAGACCAGTCCGCACGTGCAGCGCGGGCAACAATGAAGTGGTAATGCACCCACGTCCCCGTGATGGCCGTGATCGATGCAGCCCGCCATTCGCACTGAAAGGAACCTGTCACCCATCCCCCTCGCCACACACACACACACGCGCACACACATGCATACGCACACACAAACACACACGCGGGCACACACCCCGGCCGCCCCGGGTCACTGCCCACTGACCATTGGGCGCTCATTCCACGCCGGGGCCGGGCGGGTGTTCGCGGAGGGTTGGATGGAACTCGGGTTCGAATCCCGCTTCGGCCGCGTTTTCAAAGTGCGCGTGTTGCAGGCCGTGCAGGCCCTCGGCGTGCCGCGGCGCGCGGCTGCTGCTGCTGGCGCTGCTGCTGGTGCAGGCGGCGCACGGCGAGCTGCTCGTCGGCGACCTCATGGACCGCGACAGGGCGATGGCGCTGCCGCTGACGCTGCTCGGCGGCGGCCCCGTGGACGTCCGCACCACCCTGGAGTGCCACCCGCGCGTCTACAACAGCACCGTCACCCGGATGGACCGCAACGGCCGCTCCTGCTACGACCACGTCAGCGTCACCAGCTGCTGGGGCCGCTGCGACTCCAACGAGGTGGGTCGCCGCGCGCCGGCCAAAATCCTAGACGCGTTTTGAGCTCCAGAGTCGAGAAGCAGAACTCGAACCGAACGTGTGACCCCACCAATGGATTGCTGTTCGAACGAGGAATTCATTGGTGGGGTCAGACGCTCAGTTCGAGTCCTGTTTAGCTACGCTGGAGCTCAAAACGCGTCTTCCTTTTATTTCGAAGATTCGTTGGGGGTACTGCGGCGCGTTTAGCGGGCCGGGCCGGTAAATGGGGCGTCGAGTGACAAAGGACGGGGCGAGCGGGGCCAAGCAGGGCGAAGACCCCCGGCAACAAGTCCGTACGCGCCGCAACGCCCTGGGTGTGTGTCGGACACCGATCCCCGGCCACGATTTGTTTGCTCTGGCCAGGCGCTGGGAGGGCTGGCGGCGGGGCTGGGGGTGGCCAGGGCCTCAGCCAGGGCTTGTCAGTCAATAGAGGGGCCAACGCACCGCGGAGCAGCGCGGCATTCCAGGTCCGGCAGGCCCACTCCGAGAGGGCTGCACGTCGGCCTATCTGGGTTTGTCTGGGAGTTTGGGAGCAATATTGCCGCAAAGTTGATCAAAACGTTCACAAATGTCTTTGGAAAATCGTGTTTTGGGCCGACTTTAAGCATCCACTGCGTCTGATCCTAGGCGGTATTTCGTCCTCCATTAGCAGGCAATTGGTCTTTGGACCTTCCTTTAGCATGCGTTTGTTGCGGAGTGAGCACCACGACCCTTGTTGCAGATCTCGGACTACCGCTTCCCCTACAAGCGCTCCCACCACCCAGTGTGCATCCACGACGTGCGCGAGGTGCGCGTGCTGACGCTGCGCCACTGCCAGGAGGGCGTGCTGCCGGGCACGGAGCGCTACGAGTACCTGGAGGCCAAGCGCTGCTCCTGCCAGGTGTGTCGCTCCAGCGAGGCGTCGTGCGAGGGCCTGCGCTACCGAGCCGTGGGCCCCGCCGGCCCCACGGGCCCCACCGCCACCAGGCAAGGCGTCATCGAGACGGTGCAGCCCATGGTCATCAACAACAGGGACTAGCGGACCCGCCGGAGAGAGACCGACCTGTTGCCAAAAAAATAATCTGTTGCAAAAAAAGTAAAAAAAAATTACTGTAATAAAAAAAAATCCATCGGCAAGTGTTTGGGAGCTTTCACTACCCTGGGTGGTTTGCACCCTCACAGGAAAAAAAAGTCTAAAAAGCATCGCTCCGTAGTGCGAAGTAAACAAAGGCATTGTAACCATCTTAAAAGACATGCTTCCTTCGTCATACGAAGCATTCGTTCATAAGACGGCGTGATTTGACAATGCCTTCATTTTGTTTGTAGCTGCGGAGCAGATGGTTCGTAGACTTTTTTGAGTGCTTAGTTTTGTGCGACTTATAAAAAGATGTTGATATGCAACATTTAGTGAATCGTAAATATGTATTGTAATCCTTTAGTAGAGCCAGAGATAACAGCCAGAGCAGTGGCTTGAGCTGAAGTGTCGTGGGAGGCGAGCGCTGCGTCGTCGCGTAGGTGGGATGCTTTGAACGGTGTTACTTTCCGTCTCTTCACATGTAGGTTACGTTAGAGTCGTAGGTCGAATTCGTGGAAATATAGTGAAAAGCAATGTGGCTTACGTGAAAAAAAAATCATGGACTACGGTGTTATTGTAGTTTTTGTCTGTAACCAAACTGTGATCAGGTGGTTGTTTCCCCCCCCCCCCAAAAAAAAGTTAGTATCATTACCGCGTATCTTTAGGACATTAATTTATTCTGTCATGTAGCTTTATTCCCAGTTTGTGCTTCTATTAAAATATGTTGCATTTCCCTCTTCATTTCCCTCTTAAATATTCTTCTCTTTCGTCATTTCATGTGTCAATTTTTACGTAATTCTAAATAAAAAATATCACTTAATTTTCACTTGCCTATGATGTACTTTCTTTTCCCTCAAACCAAACAACAACAACAAACGAGTATTTTACAGTGCGGTCTCTGGAGAGCAGGCCTGGCGCGTGCTGATACAGGCGGCACTCCAGTTCCTCGTCCCGCTCCAGAGTTCCAGACTCCAGCGCAGCGACTCAGAAGAGCGGTTTGCCGCTCCGTCTCTCTCGCACCCTTACGGAGAGCCCCATGAGTGCGACAGAGACAGAAGGCACTCTTCCGAATCGCTCGGCAGTGCATCCTCCAGCGGGTTTTCTCCCCGGTCATGCGGCAATTAAGCTCCGCAGAGCCGTAAAGGCTTACAGTAACGACAGAAAGGGAGAGGAGGGAGGGGAGGAGGGTGGGGGTGTATTTTCTCACACAGGCCTTGCTGTGCAGCCCTTCACACCCCCCACAGACCGCAACCACAAGCCACCGATATACACGGCGTCTACACTGTAGGGGGCGCGGTGATTCCGAGTCAGTAAATCATTCACCACCATACAGAAAGGATGCAATGCGTCACATGTGTAGTGTGATGGCCTCACTAGAAGAACGAATGTCTTTCAACACGAAGGACCGAGGTTCAAATACACGCCGCGATTCCCTTCTTCTTCTTTTTTTTGGTTGAAGTTTCTAATTTTTGGGTGTGGGCAAAAATGATGATGTAACCCACGCAGTAGCCGCGACTGAGGCACACCCACGCCCGCGCCCTCCTCGAGGCCACCACCCTCGCAAAGTACACGTGCAAGCGGGGAAAAAGGGCCTGCCTGCCTGTCTCTGCCCTCCTTTAGAGCCTCTGTTATTTGAAAGAAACGCAAGGTAAACTCGGCGAGTAATTAAGACGCGCTGCCGAGAGAGAAGGGGGGGGGCGAATCCAGAATTCCAAGTCGCGCCATTCGGTTTTCGAGATTTGCCCGGCGGGTTTGTGAGTAACCGTCACTCAAAACTTCACTCACCTTCTGACTGCGAATCCATACCAAATAGACAAGTCATAGCTCGAGGCACACCCGCCCGTCTGCCCGTCATAACCACATCACGCGGGCCTCCTTTCCGTGAGTGGAGTGAAATAGCGAAACAAGGAGGGTGGCTGTCATTACATTAGCCTTGCGGTGTGTGTGTGCGCGCGTGCCGTGTCAGTAATGGCCAGCCCGCTCGAAACAACTGCAGCTCCACACACACAGTCCCGTCGTGCCCGGTCCCACTCCCCTGTGAGAGCAGCCAAACCACGCGCACGGTTGTATTCGTTAATCATCACGCTCCCGACCTCGATCCTCGAACCTTGAACCTCGAACCTCAAACTTTGAATAATGAACCTTGTTCTTCGAGCCTCGAGCATCGAACCTCAAACCTCCTCGAAGTTCTAACCTTGATCCTCGAACCACGTACCACAAATCTCAAAACTCAACCCTCAAACCTAAAACCTCGAACCTTGAACCCCAAACCTCGAAATGGCGCTTCACATCCATTTCCGCTCCCGACCTCGTGCGACGTCTGCCGCCAAAAGCGCGAGTCTGTGGCTATGCGGTCAGGTCTAGAATTCTCCCCACCCCCTCTCACCCCCACGGCGCTGACGTCAGCCGGCTCCAGGAGAGGCGTCAGCAACACCCCCACCGCGACGGCGGTGTCCAAAGTTGTGCTTCAAGGTGTGCCAAGCTACCTACCGCTGAAAGAAATCTGGGAAATTATTGAACAAACTTGCTGGGGAAAGAAAACTTGCCTCCGATCTTGGGATCCTGGGAATAGGTATGCTAAAGGAAGCGTCACAGACATGTAAACCCAGAGTCCGAGGCTGCTGACCAAGCCCGGCGAAGCCCGGCCTGACGCAATAGCCGCCAAAAGCCTCCATTCTGGCTCCTCCAAGCGCGACAAGCGCGATGAACGAACATCGTTCCCTCCCTCAACCCCCTTCCCCCTACCCTCCTCGAGACGAGCAAGGTTAACTGAAATAATTAGCGTTCTGAGCCCCACACGATATGTTCCGCCCACTCTGTGTATGCGCGCGCATGTGTGCGTGTGTGTGGCTTTCCGTGTGTGAGTGAGAGAGAGTTTGTCGTGGGACTTGGGGATTTGCGGCCTGGATTTGTGCTGATATACAGATTAAAGGACTGCGCGCTGTTTAACAATTCAATATGCACCCCACGGCGCGCGGCGTCGCCCGCCTCCCTCTACACCCCAACGGCGGGAAGATGACGACAACAGAGGTATCAACTTGAGGGATCCAAGTTGAGCGCACGACTTGCATCCGAGCGAGCCTCCGCCTGGAGCAGGGCGTTTGAGGGGCAGCTGCAGCAAAGCGCCAACGCCACCCCCGACCGCCAGCCACCCCCACCACTCTAGGGTGCCCAGGGTGCCCAGGGACAGAGAAAGCAATCTCTCTCCGACAAGGATTCGGCAAATAAAGTGTGTTTGAAGTCAAAGGTCCCCGCCGCCCCAGCGTCCCGCGCCGCGCAGGCCGTGTGTTGGCCGTGTTGGCCGTGTTGGCTGTGTTGGCGGTGCCGGTGCGGCCAGTGCCAAAGGAGGTGCAACAGGCACGCAAAGAAGGGGCTGATCTGGCCTTTGCGACGGACCTCTGTCGTCGTTCAAATCAAATTTGGTTGCCCCATGTTTTTTCTGATTTTTGTTTATTTTACTGTGCGGACAGAGTAAGGGAAATATGAATGAAGCAGACGTTGGTCTAATCTGATTTATTTATTATAATTACACACAACAGCTCTCACAATAATTAATTTTATTTTTGTTTGGCGTTTGGGAGTAAAACTCTATATTTACACTTGCTACACAATTTAAAGACACGAAGGGAAAAAATCTACGTCATTTGAATACGAACTAGAAGTAGTATCAAGAATAAGTGCAAAATGATTCGGCCTGCTAAGTCACTCTACGACCTGTAATCCACACCCGCCCTAAAACTAGAATACAGCTTTCCAATTCACAAAACTCGATTCCAGAACCATTTTTTGTGCTCTCTCAGTCTTTCACTTGTAAGTGGCGCCGTGCGCCTACTCGTCATAGAGTAAATTACGCGAAAAGCTTCACTCTAACTAATTTTTCATCGTCTACGTTTAATGAGGTTCATCTTGACTGTTGCCACGGCGGAACTAACTAATCGACAGACGCGCACACACACTGCGCTAGCAGCCAAAGCACTAAAATGTTTACTTAAGTTTCCGTTTGCAAAGCGAGCCTGAACATGATCATCACATTGTTTCTATGGCACTGCATCGGCGCGGCCGCCGGAAAAACATAGTTGTACACTCCCAACGCCTCCGGGACCCTCCCCCGTCCCTCTGCTCCGGGGCCGGGCCGGATCGGGTCGGGTCCAGCCGACGTGCAGATGGCCCGGATGGTGGGGCCTACATCCCCCTGCGCGGCCACTCCGCCTCGGGTCAGTCCTTCTTGCAGTGGTAGCACGCGCAGCTCTTGGCGGACTTGAAGGTCAGCTCCCGGAATCCGTTGAGGCACATGACGCGGACGCTCACCTGGAGGAGGGCGGATTGCCAAATGTCAGCAGTGTGTTTAAAGGCAGAGAGAACACCTTCGAAAAACTGTGTTTTCTTTCCAAGAGGACTAGAAACTTACATCCTCGGTGTCCATGATGTTGCAGCACTCCCCCACGCTGGTCACGGGCTGGTGGGGGTTGACGGCCATGGTCTCCAGGGCCGACGGGATGCTCCAGGACTCGCAGAAGCCGCGGCACGCGTTCGTCGTGATGTGGAACTCAACGCAGTCCGGGATGCTGATTTTTCGGGTGTGGCCTGCGGTAGACACACGCAGTCAGGTTGGGGGCAAGCAAGCAAGTGAAAACAGAAAGGCAGACGATCGCGGGTATTCGAACCCGCACTCACCGACTCTGTGGCAGCCGGGCCGCTTCCAGCCGTTGTCGCCGAGGTCCGCGATGACGTGCTGCAGGCCCAGGCACACGAGCACCAGCCAGGCGAAGCGGGGGGCCATGGTACGCGCCGCCAGCGCCTCCCCGACGCGCAGCAGCAGCCTCCTGCAGCACGACAAGCAGACTGCGATCAAGTCTAGTCCGGGATGCCGCGGGGGTTGGCGTCGGCGAGCCTGCCGCGGCCGGCCTCCAGGCTCTGCAGGCGCTATGCTTGACCAGCCTCAGGCGGTACGTCCCCGCCGTCCCTACTCACAAGGGCGATGGCGTACTGGACTTGTTGGGCTTGGCGCGCGACGTGCTCGGCGTGCTCGGCTCGGCCTGACTGCGTCGCTGGGCCGCGGGCTGCTCACTGTCGTGCTGGTGGCCGAGCGGGCGGCCGTCAGGGGCAGGGCTCGCTGCAGGCCGATTCCGAGTGGTGCGCCTGTCTCTCTCGCAATCATGCAGACCGTCCCGTGAGTGCGAGAGAGAGGTCTCCCGTTCGGAGTGAGTCTGCTGCGCACGCCCCGTCCGCGGCCCGGAGCACTGCGGAGCACGCCCCCGCGCGGCCGCGCCACTGGACCCGCGGCCCGGAGTGGAACGGAGTGGGGGCGGTGGGAGGAGTCGCCACGCCCCCAGCCAGCGCCAGCGACCCCCCAGTGGGGCCCCCACCAGCCGCACCGCCGATTTATCAGTTTGATTGAAAGAGCGAAGGAGGAGTTATCAGTGCGATCCGAACCCCGTCGTCAAACGCCCCGCGCTCCATCTTGGACTGAGTCCAGGCCACACCGCGGTGGTCGAGAGCGTAAGAGCACATTTCACGAACACTAGGAACCGGAGTTCCACTCCTGACGTTTCCTTATATTTTAAGGAATAATGGAATAATGCAGCCATATTTGAAGAGATGAGATGTGTAGGGCGTTCGCACTCCCAGAAATTCTCAGTGGAAACTCGCTTTCATCATAATCAATTTATTCTTTAGGCAAGATACAAAATAGAATTCAGATCACAAACGCTTTTTAATTAAATCGTTACTATGTTCACAATTCTGCTCCGAATTTCTTTTTATGTAGACTTTGACCAGAAGTTGATTTCTTTCGGCCATGCTAGCTAGCACACACAAATTCATTTTAGACAAAATATATTATCTTAACTAACCATAGTGATAAATAAGCTTACCAGCAACTAGTCTAAAATATACAGAGTATGGAGTATCACATGTTGGGCTCACGATTTATAAATAGTTACTTCTACGTTACAAAAGGAATGGGTCCATTTTACAGGGTAAATTAAGTGTCTAAAGGAGTTGCCTCCCTCTCCATAGGGAATCTGCTTCCCCGCTGATCTGCACATCGGAAGCGACAAGCCTGGGAGTCAATCTCTCTGTCTACATGGACTAGAGAAGCGTCAACTTAAATCAACTTCTAGCTTAAACGGACGCTGAGTTCCACAATTTGACAACATGGCAACACTGCCGGCCGCACAAGCGGCCCCGGCTTCCTTCATAGGCCTAATGCAAGCAACTGCAAAAAAATATATGTTTCAGTCTTAATTTGTGAGCAAACCAAGGCAGAAGCTAATCAAGCCGGAGTCGACGGCACCCACTCTCGCCGCACATCGTGACGGGAGTCGGGGTCCGTGATTTTTAACTTTAACTCTATGTTGGACTAACATACGACACCGGTGGGCACCGGTAAGGCAATAAGGCATACACATTATATCACATTTCGTTCAATCGAAATTAACTAGAGAGGCTCAGACACTATGCTTTCTGGCAAAAAAGACACGTTGTTACAAAGCCGCTTCTTTCTCACGGACAACAAAAGTTTCAAAATTCATACACGGGTAACACTCGAATAAAACAAAAATGAGCTTAACGTTACCTAAAACCTATACTTCCTTAAACAGAGCAGTAGTCTAATGGAAAGACATCAATCACAATCATTTGCATTAAAACTAATACACATAAATATATCGAGCATCATAAAAAATATACTGTGTCATTTTTTTTCCGCACCGACATTTCCGATTCCGCAAGATTCTTGACTTGAGACTACAGGAGTGGCAGTGCCGCGCGGTCCACACGGCGTGGTGTTCGTTGTGGCAGTCGTTGGGGAGGCATAGCACTGCCTGGCACATCCTGAGCACTGCCCCGCCCGTCGGCAATAACATCCTGCTCATCTCCAATTTTCGAAATCAACACACAACGCACGGTGAAAAAAAAGCAGTGTTCCAAAACGAAGAATAAATAAAAGAGCGGCTGATGTCACACCCGGGCCTGCACCTGCTCCGCGGCGCCGGCCGCCGTCATGGCCACCACGGCGTCGTGCACGGAGGGGAAGACGCGCAGGCGGTCGGCGGGGTGGCCGGCGCGCACGATGGCGCCCAGCACGTTGTCCGCGGGCGCGGCCAGCACCACGGCGACGCGCACCTTGGCGAAGTCGTCCGCCACGCGCAGCAGTGTGCGAACGCCCTCCGAGTCCACGCGCACCACGCCGCTCATGTCCAGCACCACGGCGTGCAGCTCCGACGGCTCCTGCCGCTTCATCTCCTCCACGAAGTTGGCCGTGCTGCCGGCGGGGCCCACGTCCTGGAGGTGGCCCTGCTGCACCTGCGGGAGGATAGAGGCGGAAAGGTGAGTCAGCAGGGACCAAGGGTGCGCCCCACAGCGCCGTGCGATGGGGGAGGCGATGACCCACCTTGCCCTGGCGGGCGAACTCCTTCTCCGGGTTGACGCCGACCAGGCGGTAGAGGTTGTCGCGGAAGGCCGGCCTGGTGGCGAAGTTGATGACGCCGGCGTAGCGGAAGATGGCCAGGCCGGGCACGCGCTGCGCCGCGCCGTACAGAGCGGGGTCCACGTACAGCTCGGTGTTGGGCAGCGGCGCCAGCAGGTGGCAGACGGGCCGCACGCCCTGGCACACCAACGAGGCCAGCGACAAGGCCGCGCCCACGCCAAGCCCCACGTCGATGTCCACCAGCACCACGGCCAGGAACGTCACCAGCCACACGCTGCCGTCCCAGCGCGAGTTGCGCATGTACCCGGGGGCGGCGCGCACCTGTGCAAAGAGGATCGGCGGTGAGCGCGCCGCACAGTGGGCCAGAAGACCGGTGGGGGTGGCCAAAACTCTAGACGTGTTTTGAGCTCCAGTCGCTAATTTGGACTGTTACCGAACTGTGACCCCACTAATGGATTCCTCTCCGAACGAGGAGTTCATTGGTGGGGTCACACGGTCGCTTCGAGTCCTGTTTAGCGACTCTGGAGCTCAACACGCGTCTAGGATTTTGTCCACCTCCACCGGTCTTCTGGCCCACTGTGCGCCGTCGGGCGGGCAACGGTAAGACGGGTGCCGGCGGCGAGACGCGAACCCTGACCTGCATGAGCATGCTGCGCAGCGCGACCACGATGATGGCGGCCAGCACGCAGCGCGGCAGCGGCTGGAAGAAGGGGCCGGCCCACAGCAGCACCACCGTGAGCAGCGCGCACGACACCAGCGACGTGAGCTGCGTCTTGCAGCCCGCCGCCTCCTGCACGGCGGAGCGCGACAGCGACGCCGTCACCGGCATGCACGAGAACAAGCTGCCCACCAGGTTGGACGCGCCCTGCGCCAGCAGCTCCTGGTTCGGCCGCACCTCGTAGCCGTTCTGCGGGACGGAAAGTGAGGAATCCAAAGTCAGTGGAAGCCATTGAAGTCAGTTACGCCACTCCAGTGATGGTACTGACCTTGGTGGCGAAGATGAGCGCCAGGGACATGGCGATGGTGTAGGACACGACGGCGATGGGGATGGACTCGACGGCCACGGCCCACAGCAGGCCGGGCTTGGGCACGGCGGGGACGGGCAGCCCGGTGGGGATGGGGCCGAGGGGCTGCAGCTGGTACACCGCGAGGGGCGCGCCCGGCCCCGTGGACAGCAGTGTGCCCGCGATCACCACCAGCAGCTCGATGGGCACGGGCAGCGCGCAGCGCCGCGACAGCCACGGCTTGAGGGCCTCGTTGTTGACGGTCAGCAGCAGCATCGTCACCAGCGACACCACCACGGCCGCCACGTTGGCCGTGCCAATGTACGTGCAGATGGCGATCCACTGCGAGATGATCTGCGACGAGGAGCAGGGTTTAAGTTTGGTTCCAGTCCCCGTCGGGGGTGCCGTGCCCTCTTTTGCTGTCTGAGGCTGTCCCTCGCGGTGCGGCGCTCACCTTAAACATGCCCCCGTGCGAGCTGGGCAGCTGCAGGCCCAGCAGGTCCTTGATCTGGCTGGTGAGCACGTGGATGGCCGCGGCCGTGGTGAAGCCCGAGACCAGGGCCTCGGACAGCAGCGCGGACAGCACGCCGAGCCGCAGCGCCCACATGAGCATCTGCACGGCGCCCACCATCAGCGCCACGGCCGTCGCCACCTGGAACCCGTCAGGACGCCCTCCACGAGTTAGTTGGCTGGCGAGGTTGGCGTCGACGTCAGCAGAAAGTCGTTTTCGTCAGCCTGTCTCTCTCGCACCCAAAAGAACACTCAATGAGTGCGAGAGACACAGTCTGCAGCGGCTGGTCCACTGGGCGGCGCTAGGCGGCGCCTTGTCACTGACCTCGATGTTGGTGGGCAGCGGCCCCACGGGCTCGGTGCCGTTGTCGGCCGGGTCGGGCAGCACGTGCGGGGTGGTGTGCGCCGTCACCACGTGGCCCGTCATCAAGCAGATGACGGCGAAGGTGCCCATGGACACGTGCCTCGACGTGCCTGACGAACACAACACAGCGTCACCGCACTGTACCAGAACGAGCTGTGCCAGCACAAACGAGCACAAAACGCGTCTAAAGTTTTGGCCGCCGGCGCCTATCTTCTGACCCACGTGTGGCCAGGGTGCTCACCGAACAGGCAGTAGACCAGGACGGGGAAGAAGGCCATGTAGAGCCCCACGACGGGCGGCACGTTGCCCAGCAACGCGTACGCCAGGCCCTGGGGGATGTGCATGACGGCGACGGTGAAGCCAGACACCAGGTCGCCGACGAGGTCTTCCCTCCACTTGTAGCGGCCCAGCCACTCGACGATGGGGAACACGCTGCGCACGCCGTCGGCCGCCTTCCTGGCCGTGCAGGCCGCCCCCACGCGCGGCAGCACGCGGCGGACGTCGTCGCACGACGGGCACCACGACGGCCGGCACCTGCTCTCCGGCTCCTGCGGGACGACAAGCAGTGCGTGAGGCCAACGAAAGCAAGTGCGCAGTGGGCCAGAAGACCGGTGGAGGACGTGTTTTGTGCCCCAGAGTCGCTAAACGCTCACCTTCTCAGAGCACTTGCTGACGGCGGAGCCGTGGTAGGAGAACCTGCCCTGCAGGTCGCGCTGCTCCAGGACGGCGCGGTCGACGCGCAGGGACACAGTGGGCGGCGGCGACGGCGTCGGCTTGTTGGTCGACGTGGACCCGTACATGCCGGCGGCCGCCGCGGTGCCCGGCGTCGGCGTGCCTGTAGGGCTGCCCCTGGAACAGAGACGCACATCGTGAGGACCTCGCAGACGCGGACACACTGCAAGCCGCCGCGGCCAGTGGGCGCTAGGGGCGGGCGCGGCGATACCCCGCGACTCGCGACAGCGCGGCAGCGTGGCCGCGGAGTAGCGACGGCGCCGGGCGCCGCGCGCTGCGTGCACTGCGTGCGACAGCGGGAGGGAACTTTCCGCAGACTGACACCATCACCATCACGACCAGCAACGCAAATGCACAGGCACCGTATGAGAAATTGGCGGGCGCGTCTTGACGACGGTCCGATCCGTCCAATCCGAACGGAGTCGGCGAGGGGCAGCGGGGCGGCAGAGAGGAAGGGAAAGGAGGGAAGCTCGCCTCGCAGACTCCGCGGCGCGCTCGCCAAATAACACTCGGACAAACAGCGAGTTTCTCGTCGAGACCCAACCCCGACGCGGCTGCCGTTCCGACCGTTATTCGTCACACTGCGTCGGCCTGCATTTGCATTTGCGTTTTGCATTTGCATTTTGCAGCGCTCAAAGGCGCAAGGCGCAAGGCGCAAGGCACGGTCCGGCACCGCCCGGCAGGGGCCGCGAAAAGGAACAAAACGTGCAAATACGGAGCTCAGCAGCGCGGCGCGTTCTCCAGGAAGCGCAGGCAAACGAACCAGGCAGCGGGAGAGAGGGGGAGGGGAGGGGGGTCACGTGAAACATAAGTAACAGCCCCGACGGCGCGCCACGCCCTGCGCCCAGTGCAAACACCTGTAGAGTCGAGTCCGTCGGCGCGGCCGGCGCGGCCGGCGCAGCGGCCCATCCCGCCGCGCCCCGCAGGGAGGCGAGATGAAGAAGAATACGCAAACGAGCAGGAAAGGCAAAAGGAACGAAATTGAGGCGAACCGGTTTCAGCGCACAACGGCCCGAAAACAGAGCTGCGCCGCTGCAGTGCGCAGGCCGGCGGCGGCCAATCTACGCGCGTCGACGGGGACCTCTCCGGTCCAGGTTGACGGCCTGGGCGGCCTGGGCGGGGCCGGCCAGCCACTATCGTGCCACGAGCCAGCGGCCCGCGACCTGAACACCGCTTTCGTCGCTCTGTCCCTCTTAGTGGACCCCCCCCCCCCCCCCCGGGGGATCGCCTGCTGGCCGACCCGCCACCACGCGGTCGCATTCGCGAAGAAGGCCGTGCCAAAAAGAAACCGCTGCGGCCCCGGTCGTCTGCAAGTAAGAGAAAGAGAGAGAGAGAAGAAAAATGCAAAACAAAAACACGCTGGTGTTTGAACCACCGGTGGTGCGACCCGCACGTTAGGACGCACAGGTGGTGATTACACGTCGATCACGGTTGTGGCATTAGTAGAGCGAAAACAGATCTCTCCCCCCCCCCTCTCGCGCTCTCTCTCTTTGCCAGTGCACCGGGTGCATGCAATCGCCGCGCGATAAGCGGAAAAATAAGACGCACACACACAAAAGGAGGAGACGGCGTCGAAATTAGCCGATTCGCGGGCAAGCTGGTCTGTTGCGTGCGAGCCGCGCGGAAGAGGGGGAGGGGGAGGGGGAGCGTCTGCCCGGCCTTGCCTTGCCTTGTCCTGTGACTCACGCTCACGCCCCGAGCGGGCCGCAGGGGCCGCAGTGGCCGCAGAACGCGAGCCAGGTGGGGGTCGAGGGTCTCCCCGCGGAAGACGGCAACAAGCGCCACCACACTAGCTCGCTCGTTCCGAATAGAGTCCGAAAAGCGGTTTCACGGCTCTGCCTCTCTCTCCCGCACTCATGGGGCGTCGCGTAGGGCCGACAGAGAAGGAGAACAGAGACACGAAGTGTTCGGAGTCACAATTGGCAGGCAAGAGAGGAGTCCGCGCACCCTTTGGGTTGAACTGGGAACTAACCTTTCATCACCAACCCAAGCACAATGCCTCAAGTCAAGGCCAGGCAGGAAAACGACCACGAGCCACACTTAAAGATTTTGAATTTATCTTCCCTCTCCCTCTTTTTCTCTCACTCTCCCGGCTCGTCCTCGTCTCAGCAGCGCATCATCTCTCGCTGCATAAAGCTATGTGATGTCGGAGTCTTGTCTCGGCGGTGTCCCTGGGAGCAGTGCGGCGACAACTTGGGCTAGGCCTGGCCGTACTTGGCCTAGAGTGCAAGCCTCAGGCGGACAGCGTGCAAGCCTCACAGTGAAGCAGACTGATTAAGGGTCGTCCCGTGTGAAGAAAGATAGATCGACGGAAGCAAAGAAGGGCCTGTGGGCTCTCCATAGCAGCGAGGCCGACCCGCTGAACTTGGAGGCTGGCGTGTCTCTCCGGAGTGCGAGACGGTAAGACGGAGTAGCCAAGGATGGCGGGGGTTGATTAGCGCACCGAATGTCACGCCTGCCTGCGCTTCAGGTGCCGTTTGCATTCGAGGAAGGCTGCGCGGCCGCCTCGCGCCTCTGACGGTCTCCTAATCTGGCTCCGTTCTCATCCCGGGGCACATCTCTATCTCTCTCTTTCGAGTCTCTTTCCAGCCCAGTCCCACCTAGCTGCATCCCGAGGCCAAGGACGGGCGCGCGTCAACACAGACACGCGCCGTCGTCAAATGCAGTCTTTCTTCGCAACACCGGGCCTGCACACACGCCCGCCCTCATACACGCACACGCTCACACACACACACACACATGCTCTCACACACACACTCACACACACACAGCGATCTCGTTATTTGTGGCTTCATTGTGCATCCTTTCCTCTCGCACAATCACGATCGTTGGATCGCTGCGGCGCCAGCGGGCTGCGATTCCGAACCGTTCCGTCTGTCTCTGTCTCTCCCGCACTCACGGGGCGTCCTGTGTGAGGGTGAGAGAGACAGGAAGCGCCGTCCGGAATCGGAACGGGCCGCGTGTTTAACGAGCAGCGAGGAATGCGCGCAAAACTTGGGCTTTATATTTGAGACGGCTGCAGCAAAACGGTTTCGCATCCGCACTTTCTTCGCAGTGTACCCTTTCCGACGAGGGACACACACACACACAGGGATTGAATTGTTTGAGTGTCATGAATGAGTCGGACTCGTTGGTCGTCCCTTTTTGGCCCCGAAAGGCATATAAACGAAGCCCATTTCGTTTCGTTTCGGAGCAAAAACGAGCAATGCGAGCGGAGCGCCGGAAGCGGAGGCTGTCGATCCGCAAAACGGTTGGCTGGGGCTTTTCGGACCGCTTTACATTTTCGCTTTCCTCCGCGACCTGGCGAGCGAGTGACTCGCGGGGGCCGTCCGAAAACGTCATCGAAAGAAGACATCGAGTCACATCGGCACACTACCGCTTTCCCAAACCCACTCCACACACACAGACACAGACACACACACACGCTCGCACACGAAAACCGCTGCACTCAGTAGGCATAAATTACTGCCCAAACTTTCTCGCTCAGCGGGCTGGCTTCAGTAACGGGAGTGAACAAGTCAGGCCGTCTCAGGTCCTCGTCCGAGTCCTCGTCGCCGACGTCGCCGTGACCCGCCGATCCAGGGTCTTCATTAACCGTGCCGTTTTGGAAGGGGAAAGGCGTGCGATTGGCCAACGGGCATAAAGTGTCCCTTCTAGTTGTCGCCAATCGTCATTTTTCCCCCGAGAGAGGACACGGCGGCCGTTGCGACATTGCAGCGCCGCGGCGCCGTTAAAAACGAAACCGCTTTCGAATGTAAGACTGCGCTTTTATTGCCTACCTTTTGCGCGACTGTAATTTCGCGTCCGGTCAAAAAGAGTGGTCGGAAAAAAAAGCGGCGCGCCGTCATCATCCATCCCTGCCCGCAATCATGATTAAATTTGGCGTGCCGCGTGCCGCCCGGACGACGGGCCAAGCGCCACCGCGCCGCCAGGGCTCGCCCCGTCCCTCTCTCTCGCACTCGCGGGGCCGCGCGCAAGGGCGCGAGGGAGACGGAGCAGGGTATTCACACCGTCGGGCCGTTTTGATGGGCGTGACGCAAGGCGGCAGGGCGGCCTCCACGAGCGATTCCGAACAAACATTCGCTTTCGTCTCTCTCTGTCTCGCTCGCTCCCACGGGGCGTTCCGTATGAGTGCGAGAGAGACAGAGCGGAATGAGCGTCGACAGAGAGGGCGCGCTGGACCACGGCCTGGCCCAGACCGCTGCGACGCAGGCCGGACTGGCGGTGAAGGTCTCTGTTAGCCGAACGCCTATACTGGAACACACAGACACACACACAGACACACACACGACGCGACCCCAACCTTTCCCGCCGAAATCAGCTGACTCGCTATGCACCGATTAGTGTCGCCAGGAGGCGTGTGAAGGAGGTCGCGCGCGTGAGAACGGAGCGAGCTCGCTGCCGCAGACTGATTCCGAGAGTCGTTTTTGTCGCTCTGTCTCTCTCGCACGTGTCGGGGACGCCCCATGAGTGCGCGAGAGAGAGACAGAGCGATGAAAACACGACTCTCGGAATCAGCCGCCTGGCTGGTTGGCGGCTGGCTCAAGCTTGGTTCCTGATCCTGATCTGGATCGGAGGCCCTCATTATTCTTCTAGTGTGGCGTGATTAGCTCTCAATTTCCGGATATTGACCGGAAGTGGGCGAAGGGTCCTGAATAGTTGAGAGGAGCATGGAGGCTCACAGAATACTCAGTTGGCTCTGTCTCTCTCGCCCTCGCGGTGGCAAAGACCTCGGCCCAAACAGAGGCTACCCCACCAGAATGTCCAGCCAGAGACGCAGCGGAGCGGCACGCGGCGCGCTTCCGCTAAAGACACACAAAACACGGGGCGCACTGATTATGGGCGGGATGGGCATTGTATCGGCCAGCGACCAGGCAAGGCAATGACAACGACAACCGCCTTGGCCGCGTGACAAGGAGGGGCAGGCCAGGCAGGCCAGGCAGGGCGAGCCTCTATTTCGGATCGCCGCACCGACCACGCCGCCCGAGCCACCACCCCCAGCGCAGACAAGCAGAGCACAGCGCACACGCCGCCGCACAGTGGGCCAGAAGACCGGTGGAGACGGCCAAAATTCTAGACGCGTTTTGAGCTCCCAGAGTCATTAAATAGGACTCGAACCGACCGCGTGACCCCACCAATGGATTGCTCTCCGAACGAGGAATCCAATGGTGAGGTCACACGTTCGGTTCGAGTCCTCTTAAGCGACTCTGGAGCTCAAAACGCGTGCAGAGTGTCGGCCGCCTCCGCCGGTCTTCTGGCCCACTGTGCGGCGCGTCGTCGCGTCATGCCATTACTGCACCCATCTCGGTCTCGGCCACTCCGCCCCGGACTCCCGCAACGGGTTACGCGCTTCTGCATGCCTCTGCGCACCTCCCCTCACTTTCGCCGTCGGCTCTGATTGCCGCCGTCATCCTCCGCCTCTTTCACGCCCCGTTGCGTTCCGAAAATAACCCGCGACCGCGCGCGGCTGCGCTCAAAACAGTGCTGGTCAATTTGGACTCCTCGGCGTCGGCGGTAGCGGCGCCGGCTCCCACAGGAGCTCGACTAGACCAAGGTCAGGGCCGGGAGGACGGCACTCCAGGGCGTCTTGTCGGCGCCGCGGACGGCCCAGGAGGCCGCCATGGCCGCCGCCGACCAGCGCGGCCAACCAACCACTGCCACCAGCCAGCCGCGGCCCTAAACCGTTTTAACTGCTCTAGATAATGGCCAAGCCTGTTGGTGTGAGTGTGTGCGTATGTCTAGCTGTAGGTATACGTGTGTGTGTGTGTGTGTGTGTGTGTGTGTGTGTATGTGGAAAGCTTGCTTCGCTGAAGAGCCCCACCAGGACACTGTAGGTGAGGTCAAAGCCGGTCAAACGGTCGGGTCGCTTCCTCGGCGCTGGCGGTGACACACACACACACACACACACACACACACACACACACACACACACACACACACACTCACACGCGCGCGCAGGCCGTGGCCGCGGAGTAACGGGCGCCATACTCACGGGTTGCCGTGCTCCGCCATGAAGGCGGTCATGTTGGCGGTGCGCGCGGCCACACTGCGCGAGGGCCGTGAGGGCCGTGAGGGCCGCGAGGGTCGCGAAGGCCCGAGGGGCGGAAGGGCGGCCGTTGGGCGCTGGTCCAAGTCTCTCACGGGCCGCGGGCCGGTGCAGGAGGTCGCGGCGACGACGGCGGCGGCGGCTTCAAGTTCACGGCGAGGACGGCGTCGAAGGGCGTCGCGCAGGGTCACGGGCGCGCGGACGGGTGCGTGCAGCAGCGCGTCATAGTGCCTGCCCGGCGGCTGGCGGCACGGCTGGCGGCAGTGCCTGGCTGCCTGGCTGCGCGGCGCGGAGTGACTGGGGGCGCCGGGCGTTGCTTGGGCTGGCTCGCGGTTCGGCGGGGACGCGGCGAGCTCGGCGGGGACGCGGTGCGGCGTGCGGAGCGTGGCGATGCGGCGATGCGGCGGGGCGCTGCGTGGTCGGTCCGGTCGCCGCAGACGCTGCTGGCGGTCTGTTGTGCGGCGGCTGTGTTGTGGACCGCGGCAGCCGATATTGTCTACGCCGCACTCCCCCGCCCCCCCCCGCCACCGCGCCCCGCCGCGCCGGCCTGGGCGTACGCCCGGCAGGCCCGCAGAACGAGTGCATCGCTGGAGCCTGGAGCCTGGCGGGACATTTGCTGGAGTCTTCCTGCGCGGGTGTTTCCCCGGTATTCAAAGAGGTTTCTTCCGATTTCAGCATTTCTTGATTTCAGCAAGACGTTTCTTGATCTTAGCAAGAAGTTGTTTCTTGATCTCAGCAAGGAGATGTTTCTTGATTTTAGCAATAAGTCTCTTGATGACGTCTCTTAATTTTAATGAGAGGTATCTCAGTTTTAGCGAGATATTGTCTTTATTTCTGCAAGAAGGTAGGCCTACACATCAAATGTCATAGGACGGTTTTGGCCCACAACTGACTCAATTTTAACCAGAGATAAATTATACGTAGGACAAAAGACGGCCCATGATATTGAGAGGGTAGTGTCTTGAGTCCTGCAGTCCTTTTGCTGACAACTTTCTAGGGCATTTCTCAAGCCTTGTCGAATCCTTCCTCATGCAGCCTTGCTGCAACCTTGCTGCGGAACCTTGATGCAGCCCAGTCCCCCACTGGCTCCTAGATCCCGAAGGAAACTGCGGTGCGAGCATTTCGAAGTCCCCTTGGAGGCACACAGTGGGCCAGAAGACCGGTGGAGGCGGTCGAAATCCCGCACACGTTTAGAGTCGCTCAATGGAACTTAAACCGAAAGTAGGAACCCACCAATGGATTGCGCTCCGAACGAGGAATCCATTGGTGGGGGTCACACGTTCGGTTCGAGTCCTGTTTAGCGGCTCTGGAGCTCAAAACGCGTCGAGAGTTTTGGCCGCCGGCACCGGTCCTCTAGCCCACTGTGAGGCGACGCTGTGGAAAAGACCCTGACGGACAAGAGGAGCCGCTTAGCTTGGCGGCCCGCTCCAGTTGACTCCAGCACTGATGCGTCGGAAATGTTTGGCAGGAACGAGGGCCTGCAGCACGCTGCAGCACCGACAGGCGAGGCAGCGCAGCGCTGGAGAAGGAGGGACGAGAGAATGCGTGGGAGAGAAAGAGAGGGGGGGAGGAGGAGGACGTTCGATGACCCCGCAATCGGAATGTGTGATCGGAAAGTGCACGCACAGCATCGGCCCCTCCCCCCTCACGCACACACTCACGAGACATGTACACGACCGCGACCGACCTGCAGCAAACAGGAACAATATGGACAAGGCCCGTGTGAGTGTGGCTCTGTGTGCGTGTGTGCCTTGTCAACTCCGAATGGGCTGGGCTGGAGCGCCTGCCGGGTAGGCATGCCCGCTCGACACGGCAGCGTTGCGGGTCCCGGGATTTTGACCGCCTCCTGGCCCACTGTGCTTGGTCGCGCTAGACGGACGTCCCACATCCTTGAAGTGCGAACATGCGCCTGCGGGTTGGGACGCCAGAACTTCTCTAGACAGAGACAGGACGCCATTGCCATTCAGTGCTCGTCACCCCGGCGCACCCCGCCGGCAGTGCGACCGTTACCGTGGCGTAACGCCCTGCTGTCGCCGGGCGGAGGACAACCAGGCGAAGTGCCTGGAGCCGCCGCCAGTCCCACACCGATCACAATTTCAGCAACATTTCTCACACGACGACGGCGACGCTTTCATTGCGAGGGGCACGGCGTTCATTTTCGTTAGGCGATGGCTCCATATTCATAAAGGAAGCGTTCCTTTGGCGTGGAGATCGGGGGGCTGGGGGGGGGGGGGCTGCTGCCCGCGGCCGCGCCGAGATCCTTGTATTCCCAGCAGCAGCGCCAGCAGCGTCCGTGAGAAGACAGGGGTAAGACGCGCTGCTCCAGCTGGAGGACCTGCTCGGCCTGAAAAAAGTTGTGTGCGTGTGTGTGTGTTTGTGTGTGCGCTACTTGCACCAGGTATAGTACACTGCAGCAGCCGCGCCCCCGCGGCGCCAGCAGGCCACGGCACGGCATGGCACGGCACGGCACGGGTCGGCTCAGCTCGGCGAGGCACGGCCCGCGACATTCGAGTCGTCACAAGCGAGTACAGAGTGGCTCGTCTCGCCGCGATTGGAACCGGTTAGTAACCGGTCTGCGGGCTACTAGCGGACTCACTGGCACTGTGGATGTGTGTGTGTGTGTGAGTGTGTGTGTGTGTGTGTAAGTGTAAAGATGGTTTTCACGATGGGAGGAACTGAACGTATCCAGTACACACACGGGACGTGCACATTACGCGGCACACACACACACACACACACACACAGCATACACGCACTCGCACTCCGGCCGGAGCAGCATTAGCGAGACGCGATTTACCGACATAGGCAATCAGAAGTGAGCCGTGAGAAACAAGCGGAGCAAATGGGGGGAAGAACCTTTGGTCGGGGAGCGGCGGGGAGGCGGGGGGACACCATGGTGGCGCCCAGTGGGGGCCAGTGGGGGCCAGTGGGGCCACCTCGGCGATGTCGAAGCGGACTGAAGCGCCTGGCAAGCCTGGCAAACGGGAACCGTGACGACGATGCCTCTCTGGGTTTGGGGGAAATGGTGGGAAAGGCTTCCTGCCTGATTGGCCAGGTTCATCGCCTCCTTTGTGTTTATCGCGATGCCGCTGCGGATAGCGACGCAGAGCGACGCAGCGCGGCGCCCCACGGCCTTGGTGCATTCTGGGGCCGCGGCGCCGCGGAGCCGCGCTGGAACGGAGCGCGACAGAAGGCGACAGATTTCCGGTAATAAAAATCGGCCGCTTTACGATATCGGCGATATCCCGCGGACGCTTCCTGCTGCTCCCCACTTTCTTCATTACACTTAAAACCCCACCGTCCCTCCCGCGCCTCCTGAGGAGCCCCCATGCGTGCGAGAGAGACAGAGCGACCACACGGCCCTCTTTTTTCGAGCTTCGGCGTAGTGTGAGGCGACCGCCGAGATCCGATAAGACCTTTTCCTCGTGGGGACGTCATCGGCCGGAGTCACAATGTTGACACCTCACTGGGATGGCCCTCCCTCTCCTAGACAAACAGACAGACAGGCAGGCAAGCAGACCGACAGACAGACAAAACCACCCGCACTCGCCGCTTGATTCATTGGCGGGCACGAGTCCCCGAGCTGGCACATGCGGCCTTGCCGAAAACATAACTCAGCTGCTGGTGCCTTAATGTGGCGAAATCGGCAATCGACGCGTCAACACAGCAACAGCGGACGGCACCAGGCCCAGCCGGCTGCAACATCGGGCCGCGACGGGTTGCCTCCCCGAGCGCCTGGCGGGTAGGCAGTCCCGTCGAGCAGGCGTGCCGACGGGTTGCCTCCGCGAGAACCGCAGGCGGCTCCAACACAGTCGGCTGGAGTTGTGCAAAAGTATCGTTTGCTTCCGTTTCCGTTCTCGTCCGGCCGCGCCACCCGGTCGGCAAGTGGCGTGATGTTTCGGGACGTCGTCGGGCGCGACGTGGACGCTGCGACGTCGGCCAGCCAAGGTTTTATTGACGGAAACGCAGCGCGTGCGCCCGCGGCGCTCCCATCGTCGCGACGCTCTTCTTTTCGTTCTTTTCGACTTGCGATTGGTCCGGCGTCGCCGTGCCGCCCCGCCCGGACTCCAGGGGGACTCTTCCTCCGCCGCCAGAGCCGCGTATCGTGGCCGCGGCCGGCCGCCAGTTGCGTGCTCGCCGTGCCCCACGTGGTCCACGTGGTCGTCGTGTTGCAGTGTGCTCGCTGGACCGGACTGACCGCCGCGCCGCGCCGCCCAGGCCGCGGGGGAGGAGGACGAGGAGGAGGGGAGACCGCACTACTTCTTTACGCGTCCTGCACATGGAGACTTCCTGGTGCTGCTTCAGGCTTCGAGAAGCGAGCCCGCGCCGCCGGTTCTTCATCATCATCATCTTCTTCTTCTTCAGCCTGCTCGGCGACCTCCTCGCCTCTTCGGCTCCACCCGGGGTAGCGCGCCTGTCGCTCTGTCTCCCTCGCACCCCAACGAGGTGCCACGCGAGCGCGGCTTGTTGGGCCCCTTTGTGCGAGGGCTGGGGGGCTGGGCCGCCTCCTCGTCGCCGTCCTGGCCGCACGTCTGGAGCCTCGCGACGGCCACCTCCTTATCGGCGAGGCGGCGCCTGCAGACCGATTCCGAGAGTCATTTTCGTCGCTCTGTCTCTCTCGCGCCTACTCGGGACGCCCCAGGGGTGCGAGAGAGAGCGGCGAAAACGGGCATGCTGGTTAGCCACTTGCCGAGCGTTCCGCGCTTCACGCCTTCAGTCACGGGTTCGAGCACCGCGCGGCGAGGCCTGTTTTTGTTTCGGCAGGGCAGCGTGGCAACAAACAGCCTCTGCGATAACCTCTGCGACGTGCAAAATAAGGTTGAGGCGGCACCGCGGCAACAGCGAGGCCGCAGCAACAGCGACACACCCCTCTCATTGGCCCGGCCCAGGCACGGCACGGCAAGGCCTGGCACGGTATGGCCCGACATGGCTCCCCTCGGCCGGATTAAAGCCTCTGCTGCCAGGCGCCTCGAAACTAAGTCCACCGACTTTGGCATCCTCTGGCTGCACTTAGCCTTCCCCGCCCTGATCGCCGTCCTCGGCACACCGCACGCACTTCAGCGGTAGACTGATTCCGAGAGTCGCTTTCGTTTCTCTGCCTCTCTCACACCTATAGGGGATGCCGCATGAGTGCGAGAGAGACAGAGTGGAATCAGTCTCCTGTGGTCAGGCGGCGCGGTGATTCGTCCCCCTGGAGAA